CAAAGACTAAAGCTTATTAAAAATAGTATCAATAAATTTACTCAACATGTTGATGTTTGTACATAATTAGATATTCTGTTTTCATATTTACTACCTTGCAAGCTCAAAGCTCGACCATGCCATTAAAAAAACTTTCAAAAGATGTTGGAAAGTTTGTATCTCTTCAACCTCATCAGTTGAACTTATTGGGCACTTGATGAAATCTTGACAACTTTAGGTTACGACATCATTGCAGATAGGGGAATAATATATCTTTTTTGTTTGAAAACAAATAGTTCATTTGAAGTAGGAGAAATCAAATGCCATATGCCATGTCATTGAAAGTGTGAGACATCTCTAAATATAAGTCAATGTCATTTGATCGTCCAGCTCCCTCCTGGTGTCCATGTTAGTTGTGTGCGAACTGACCAGTTATAGCGGCCAATAAAACAAGTGAACATGTACTTTTGAGTTTGTTTTCAATTGCTGCATGGGTCAATGACCTGGAGCGCGTGTTGATGAATGCGACGTCATTGTAAGATGTTTGTAAGATTTATTGGGGTAAGTTGTGTGCTAACTGAACCAAGTCCAGATCAGTACCCAATATCAGATATAGCATGCCACTTTCAGTTGCCAGGCCAATATGTGACATGTCTGTCTTAGTAAGGCAAAATTTGTGGAATCTCAATCTAAGTAACCAGGCCCAAATGTGACATGTCACTCTATTCAGTAACCAAGCTAAAATGTGACATGTCACTCTCAGTAACCAAGGCAAAATGTGACATGTCACTCTCCTCAGTAACTAGTCCCAAATGTGACATGTCATTCTTAAGACCTAGGGCTAACATGTTATTTACACAAAACGTGATTAAGTTGTCATTGAAAATGTTTGTAAACAAAGAACAACAAAGTAAGAAAACTAGTTTTTAGTTTTTTAAAATGAGAATTTTCAAGTTAAAGAAGACAGTGTTCTCTTATCTTAAGGACCAGACAGCACAAACTTTAGGGACAGCTCAAACATTAAACAAATTGAAGGCGATTAAAAAATTTTAAAATACCGGTAAAAATACTTTCTGTTAAAAACACATTTAAACACTGTGAGGTAAAAATACTTTCTGTTAAAACACATTTAAACACTGTGAGGTAAAAATACAAATCACAGACAAGTTAAACGTTTTAAAGACAATTAGAAACATAGATATTAAATAATACAGTTACAAAAACACACAGAAAAAAAATTACCAAAACATGTAAATAATAATACAGATATAACAATAGGTACAAAACACAGTAAATATTAGTAAAAAAAAAAGAAAGTGTCAAATCATATTTAAATATGTTTGAAGGGAGACAATGTAACTTGGAAAAATAAAATTTTTAACATAAATATTTTATTTCCTCCGACACTGCCGAAAGACATTTTGTCCGCCCCTTCCTTCCAAGGTCTCCTTAGTGACATTGTGTATGTCAAATTAAATGATTTTTTTTTAACTTTTATTTTTAAATCACATTAAAAATAATTAATAACATTTGAAAAAATCAGTAGTTTTAAATTGTGTAGAGCAGGCCTGGTGTAGAGAGTGGACCTGTAGAGCAAGCCTGGTTTAGAGAATTGACCTGTAGAGCAGGCCTGGTGTAGAGAGTTGACCTATAGATCAGGCCTGGTGTAGAGAGTTGACCTGCAGAGCTGGCCCAGTGTAGAGAATTGACCTGTAGAGCATGCCTGGTGTAGAGAGTTGACCTATAGAGTAGGCCTGGTGTAGAGAGTTGACCTATAGAGCAGGCCTGGTGTAGAGAGTTGACCTGTAGAGCGGGCCTGGCGTAGAGAGTTGACCTATAGAGCAGGCCTGGTGTAGAGAGTTGACCTATAGAGCAGGCCAACTAAAATGAAATGAACATCTTCATTGTTTGAACAGTCCATGAGCATCAGATGTATTTCATATCAATCATGCAAGAGTTCCTCAATAATCAAAAATGTGAAATCTGACTGTTTGAACTATTATTATGTTATTAAATATAAACAAAGAGTTGCACACTTTCAATGAATAAAATTCAAAATAATTAGGCTTTGTACCACTCAGTAAAGATCAGAAGTGCCCAGTAGACATTAAAAGTGCCCCTAAGCATTAGAAGTGCCCAGTAGACATTAAAAGTGCCCCTAGGCATTAGAAGTGCTCAGTAGACAGAAATGCCCAGTAGACATTAGAAGTGCCCAGTAGAGATGAGAAATATCTAGAAGAGATTACAATTGTCCATAAAGGATCAGTAGTGCCAAATAGAATGGTGAGTTCAGAGACAAATGACCATGTTTACATACTAATAAAATAGATGCAAAGAGATACAATCTGTGTAGAGGATAAGGCTGTGGATGATCATTACAAACAACAGCTTGGACACATGCATATTATATAACGTTTTGTCACATTAAAGAAAATGTTTATACAATTTGGTCACAATTAAATAAATTTCGCATACAATTTGGTCACTGATTAAATAAATAGTGTATAAAATTTGGTCACAATCACAAAAATTTATGTTAATAATTTTATATAGGATTTTTATCACATAAAAAGAAATGTAAATGCATAAATGTAAGGAACAATGCAACAATATGGAGGGCATGCCATGAATGACAACAAAATGGAAGTCTCTGTTGTTGAATGTGCAACAAAAGATAACCAAACAAAAAGCCTACCTCAGTATTGCTGAGCAATGAAACAAGATGGCTCAAATAAGAAAGATTGCATTTTGATGTGGATGAGTTGAAATAATGACAAAAAGCTTGTACAACGTCTGTCCAAAAATAGACATGTGGACAGGGTACAGGACAGATTTGTCCAAAAATTACTCACTCTTATCAAAAACATTATAAATTTATAGTTTGTCAGTTTTATTAAAAAGATTTCTTTAGATTGGAACAACTGGTGCATAAATGGATTTCATGATCTGTATCCATTTGTTCAAACTCTACCAGCTTAGTTATGTTTTGATACAAAATTTTCTGAACAAAATAAAATCCTAGAACACATGGCAGATTTAATTTTCTTGTAAAGACGACAGGCGACCTACTTAGTAAAGACAAATGATCTAATGCTCCTGTCACTGTCGATAGCATGATTATATTAATTTTGTGAAAATAATTTATCTAGTAAAAAACAACTCCTCTTAATGTGTTATAATTTAATTGAATTAAGGGAAATTATGTCTTAATGTTATAATTTAATTAAATGAAGGGAAATTATGTCTTAATGTTATAATTTGGTTGAATGAAGGGACATTATTGCTTAATGTTATAATTTGGTTGAATGAAGGGACATTATTTCTTAATGTTATAATTTGGTTGAATTATTTCTTAATATAGTAATTAGGTTGAATTAAGCAACATTATGTTTTGGTGTCCATCATTGAGAGCAGCGGCTCTCAACCTGTGGGTCGCAACCACTTTGGGGGTCGAATAACCCTTTTCTAGGGGTCGTCTAAGACCATCGGTAAATACATATACTTTACAGTTGTGAAGTAGCAACAGAAATAACTTTGTGGTTGGGGGTCGCCACAACAAGAGGAACTATATTAAAGGGTTGCGGCATTAGGAAGGTTTAGAACCACTGATTTAGAGTATTGTTTTTTTTTTACCAGCGAATCACAGCAGCCTATTAATTTATTGAATTAATGTTGCTAAAAAAGAAAAAGGAAATATTTGAATGCAAAGTTTAAATGTGACAGTGAAAAAAAATATATAAAATATGTTACTTGACATTTTATCAGGCACCACAGCTTACATCAAACATAACCAGTGTTTAAACACATCATTGTTTATATCAAACCAACCAATGTTTAAACACCATCGTTTCAAATGAACACAACCAGTGTTTAAACACCATTATTGTTTCAAATGAACACAACCAGTGATATAAAACAATTGTTCATTACATTAAACACATTGCAACTTAATGCACAATGGCAGGTTAATAAAATCATCCTGTGCCAGACAAACAAAATTCAGATTGCCACAACAAATAACTAGCCAAAGATTTGATCACTATGAACCATCAGGTGCTGGAACAACTCAGGGATGCTAATGCATTTATTCACTGTCAGGTGTTGCACAACTTTCCCTTGCTGATGTTGAGCAACTTGATGCTAGGTGTTGCACAACTTTCCCTTGCTGATGTTGAGCCACTTGATGCTAGGTGTTGCACAACTTTCCCTTCCTGATGTTGAGCCACTTGATGCTAACGCTGTATTTCAAATGACATTTTTGGCTTCCTGTTTTTAATCTCATGTTTATATTTAAATTTTCAATGAATTTCTCTTTAGAATATGTTCTTTTTTTATTACATACTTGTATTTACTTTCTTTTCATATATATGTGTTGTGTTCAGAAAAATCTATGAGATCATCTGTGCTTACCCCACTCCCTCTTTGGGACCAAGGTATGTGTATGCAGCCATTGCCTTTGTCATCCAGACTCAAAAAATTCCCTTCCCCAAAAAAAACGAGTTTTCATTTAAGGGACAGTTTTCTTAGCATTAGCCGCAATGTTAGTGCCAGCTGTCATAAGGTGCATCTGGGCGAGAACTGGCCAGCGCGTCTTACGCAGATGCACTAAACACCTTTGAAATAAACAGTTTCCTATCTAAAAACACTTCAATAGAAGTGACCACCTGGGCTCCAGGACCTGACTTGCACCCACTTTGTGTTTTGTATCAACAGGACCATTAGGATGAACTTATAGAACAAACTGATTCAGACTCATGGAACCATGACACCACATGGGATGAAAGTCATTTTCTCTTTCACTTGTTAAATATCCATCCCCCCCCCCCAACAACTTGCTACAACCAATAGCAGTGGACTTACTTTTCCTCTTTTCCATCACCTAATACCTATATTAACTCTGTTACCTACTAATGTCTATATCAACTCTGTTACCTACTAATGTCTATATCAACTCTGTTACCTACTAATGTCTATATCAACTCTGTTACCTACTAATGTCTATATCAACTCTGTTACCTACTAATGTCTATATCAACTCTGTTACCTACTAATGTCTATATCAACTCTGTTACCTACTAATGTCTATATCAACTCTGTTACCTACTAATGTCAATATCAACTCTGTTACCTACTAATGTCTATATTAACTCTGTTACTTCTAATGCCTATATCAACTCTGTTACCTACTAATACCTATATTAACTCTGTTACTTCTAATGCCTATATCAACTCTGTTACCTACTAATGTCTATATCAACTCTGTTACCTACTAATACCTATATTAACTCTGTTACTTCTAATGCCTATATCAACTCTGTTACCTACTAATACCTATATTAACTCTGTTACTTCTAATGCCTATATCAACTCTGTTACCTACTAATGTCTATATCAACTCTGTTACCTACTAATACCTATATTAACTCTGTTACTTCTAATGCCTATATCAACTCTGTTACCTACTAATGCCTATATCAACTCTGTTACCTACTAATGTCTATATTAACTCTGTTACCTACTAATGTCTATATCAACTTTGTTTCCTACTAATGCCTATAATAACTCTGTTACCTACTAACGGTCTATCACATTCCTCTTGCTGTCCTCCCTGATACTACAATGCAGCTAGGTGTTTAGTTGAATTTTTGTCTTGTTTTTTTTTACTGTTGTTTTGTTTGCTGGAGAAGGTTTTTTGAAAACATGTTCATTGTTTTGTTGCATCGTTTTTTTTCCCCAGGTTTCCCCATTCTTTGTTTCTCTTATTTCCTATTATTCTTTAATTTCTTTGTAATACTTGCTTTTATATTATTCTTTTTTATTACTTAATCTCTTAAAGTATGAAAGCTTTTCAAGCCTATTTGATTGATTGTTTTATTTAACAGTCAACTAACTGCCTTTATATCAAATATTAGTAAGTTTTTGTGATGCCTCTTTCTCTTTTCTTATCACTAATGACATTTATGAAGCTTCATTGACTAGATTAAGACATATGGATTGTGGTTAACTTTAAATACACATTTACTCTAAACAAGGGAAACAAATATCATAATTAAAGTGAAGTAATTAGAAATGTGAAATGTTGCTGAATGATTTTGGAAACCAACAGTTGCCACTGAGGAAATCCTAACAGCAGTTAGATCAACAAGAGCAGCCATTGTTGCCACTATGATGGGGTGCACGATGTTCTGGGTGCTTGGAACCGTTCTTTAGTTTCGGCATCTGTGACTGGTCCACATAGAGGTCCATGCGGGCCATAACCCGGTCTAACAAGCAGTCCACGGCTTTTGTCACATTCTGACCTGTCACCGCACTTGTTTCAAAGTAAGGTAATCTGTGTATATAAATGTCAACATAGTATGGTAATCTGTGTATATAAATGCTAAAATAGTAGGATAATCTGTGTAAAGAAATTTCAAAATAGTATGGTAATCTGTGTAAACAAATGTCATCAGTAGGGTAATCTGTGTATAGGATAAAAAATGAAGGACTGCATTCAAGCAGTGTAAACAAATGTCATTATAGAGAACACTCATTACCAGCTAAACTTGCACTCTTATAAACAACAAATGTCATTATAGTGAGCACTCATTACCAGCTAAACTTGCACTCTTATAAACAACAAATGTCATTATAGTGAGCACTCATTACCAGCTGAACTTGCACTTTTATAAACAACAAATGTCATTATAGAGAGCACTCATAACCAGCTAAACTTGCACTCTTATAAACAACAAATGTCATTATAGTGAGCACTCATTGCCAGCTAAACTTGCACTTTTATAAACAACAAATGTCATTATAGAGAGCACTAATTACCAACTAAACTTGCACTCTTATAAACAACAAATGTCATTATAGAGAGCACTCATTACCAGCTAAACTTGCACTCTTATAAACAACAAATGTCATTATAGAGAGCACTCATTACCAGCTAAACTTGCACTCTTATAAACAACAAATGTCATTATAGAGAGCACTCATTACCAACTAAACTTGCACTCTTATAAACAACAAATGTCATTATAGAGAGCACTGATTACCAGCTAAACTTGCACTCTTATAAACAACAAATGTCATTATAGAGAGCACTCATTACCAGCTAACTTGCACTCTTATAAACAACAAATGTCACTATAGTTGGCACTAATTGCTGGCTTCACTTGCACTCTTATAAACAACTGTTTTTTTTTAAGTACATCTTAAGTCTACACCAGGATTTGCTGTGAAAGATTCTATAGTTACAATGGCATTTCCAATTAACTGGCGTAATCAGTAGATAAGAGCTTAAATTTGTCCATAGTAAAATGACTAAAAAGTGGAATAAAGTAGAGATTCTGATTTTGGAATAAAGTAGAGATCCTGATATTGGAATAAACTAGAGATTCTGATAATGGAATAAAGTAGAGATCCTGATATTGGAATAAAGTAAAGATTCTGATATTGGAATAAAGTAGAGATTCTGATATTGGATTAGAGATGGTGATATTGGATTAAAGTAGAGATGGTGATATTGGAAAAAAGAAGAGATGGTGATATTGGATTAAAGAAGAGATTCTGATATTGGATTAAAGTAGAGATTCTGATATTGGATTAGAGATGGTGATATTGGATTAAAGTAGAGTTGGTGATATTGGAATAAAGAAGAGATGGTGATATTGGATTAAAGAAGAGATTCTGATATTGGATTAAAGTAGAGATGGTGATATTGGATTAAAGAAGAGATTCTGATATTGGATTAAAGTAGAGATAGTGATATCGGATTAAAGAAGAGATGGTGATATTGGATTAAAGTAGAGATGGTGATATTGGATTAAAGAAGAGACTCTGATATTGGATTAAAGTAGAGATTCTGATATTGGATTAGAGATGGTGATATTGGATTAAAGTAGGGTTGGTGATATTGGAATAAAGAAGAGATGGTGATATTGGATTAAAGAAGAGATTCACAGAAGATAAAAGATTACTGTCCAGCTAATTAAAGAAAGAAAAACTGTGTTGTCTATGTCATTTTGTAATAATATAAACACATGGTACTACTGTATGGCCTTTTGGAGACCATCCACATATTAAATATGCATTGAAGGGGGTGGGGGATTTTTGGGATTTTTGGGATTTCATGTATGTTTGTGTATGGCACAGGAGGATTAAGGGGGGTGGGGGGTTTGCTGAATGTTTACATACATTTACACAAAAAATCTGCCGTAATTGTCCTGATATAATGACAATTATTAGCCCTATTTATAAATCTTAACAAACTAATTTCACACTTCAAATCTGTGAAATCCAAAATTTATAACATTTTTTAAGGCTACATTACTGCAAAGTGTCATCATAATTATCTGACTATTTGGCTTTGTGCTTACACAGTGACCTCATTGGATATTGCAACAGCAATAAAAAAGCAACTAACAACGACATTATATCCACCATGAGCTTTTTTATGTTTCCATGAGTCTGACATAATTTGTGCCTGATTTGGTTGGGCTAAGCCAAAGATTGTATTCACTGCCACTAATAGACAGCGGAGAAATTCAAACTGAAAGAGGAGATGGGGGGAGGATGGACTAATGCTCATGTTTGGATAATACGTTGTTTTTTTTTACCCGAATTTTTCAGCCATATCCCGAGCTCTGTCCTCTGAAACTCTGCGAGAGTCCTCAAGGTCTGCCTTGTTACCGCACAAGACAACATCAGGGTTCTCACAATAAGCGTGGGTCTGGGGATCAACAATAATACTTAGTGTCATAATACAGGGATAAGTAATCATGCAAACACAATATCTCAGTTTTCTGTTTCTTCCTCCGAGGCTCCTGTTGAAAAGCCTATGGTGCATTGTCGATTAGGAGGCTTCGGCCACCCGACCCCCTTGACGTTACCCGGGGAACAAGACCACCATTGCTTGTCTCATGTGGGCAGACAAGAGATATGCATGGTACCTGCCGCAATAAAAACAGCACCTACAGGACCTGCCAACTGTGACGCTTCACAGTTGGAAGTAATGGCAGAGACACAGTAGGGATCATGATTATTAGTTGCCTTGAATGGATATGAGGCAAGAGGCGAAGGTGGAAACCTCTAGCCGATGATTCTTTTTATGTAGCCCTGAGAAAGCTGCTCCTAGGCAACCGTTTTGTTCCAGCTACTTACTTCACAAACTAGTTGAAACCGTAGAAACCCTCTTATAAGGAATCAGATGCTTCTATGGGATGGGTAGGGGAAGATATTAGGACGTAAAATTACCATCCCGACTCCTAAGAAAGTTGATCATGTGCACTGTGTTTATGCGCAGTGTCGGATCGGCTGGTTGTCCTTGGGTTGGGGCGGCCTCTGGCGGAACCCGATCGAGCTGACTAGAGTGGAGTGTGTCCTGGCAAAAGGATATCTCCAATGTGCCGTTTCGTTTTGCTTTGGGACAGCATAAGAAGCATTAGCTAGACGGCCCGCCGATGCCATTTCCTAATGGGATATTTCAGTTCTTTGTTTCAATTAAACATTTTCTTCCAGTACCACTGTCATGTTAAAAATAAATATCAATATGAAAAATGAACAAAAATGTTTTAAAATGAGTGAACGTTAAAAAAATTCAAAATAAAAAAATATGAACCTAGTGAAAATAAACAAAAAAAGGGACCTGATGAAAATAAACAAATGTATGGACCCGGTGATAATAAACAAATGAATGGAGCTGATGAAAATAAACAAATGTATAGACCTGGTGAAAATAAAAAAATAGTGACCTAGTGAAAGTAAACAAATGTATGGACCTATGAAAATAAACTAAATAGATGAACATAGTGAAAATAAAAAAATATATGGACATATGAAAATAAACTAAATATATGGAAATAGTGAAAATAAACAAATTTATGGACAATGTATATGTATGAAAACTTTCAACCTGTATTGGAGATTAATTTGGAGGAGTAATTTGCCATTAATCAATGAAGCACGCAGAAAATATTTAATTGATCGATGTATATATTTTTAAATATCTTAATTTAATTTATTTCCACTAGGTAGTAAAGGTAAGTTTACCAGATATTAAAGGTAAGTAGACTCACCTGTAGCTGACTCAGCCAGTTCCGTGTGTTCAGCAGTGACTCTTCATTGGTCAAGTCAAAAAGTAGTAAGAATCCCATGGCATCACGGAAGAATGCTGTAGTCAAGCTTCGGAATCTGCAGAAAAAGCAAGTAAGTAGGTCACTCTCATGGGATTTTTTAGTTGGTGTTGACTTGCCTAGAGGGCGGTAGTTGTGTGTTCTGCCGGCTTTTACAGGAACAGCTTTATCAAAATGGTTATTCTTCTATTTTGGAAAGAACCAAATCCATTTTTTAGATCATTAAAACCATCTTACTCTTTATCTTAATTATATGTCAAATGATTAACTAGCACTGCCTGGTGCAGTTTCCAGAGTTATCTGATCTTTTATCTGTCATAGTTTTTTAATCTGTACTTCATTTCATGTACAAGAATAAACAAATATAAATATGACCAGATGTTAAAAATGAGCTTGCACAATGTTAGATTAACTTGGCATAAAACTTCAAGCTTAGAGATCACATTCAAATGAGACAAAAATTATGAAGTTTTTAAAAAGCCATCTGTAGGACAGTAGCATTTTGTCAATGTACTCAAAAAATCAAAGTCTGATTTTTTTTAGGTCAAAAATACATTTATTTTTGGTTTTGTTTCAAAATTGCTAAGATCTAGGGCTTCCCCATGTCCAGTATAAGTATTTTCAAATTAGTTAAGGAAAAATGCCTTTCTGTCATTCTAAACAAATTTTTTAAAGTTATTAGGGTCTAGTGTGTCCTGTCAAATTTGACAAACCTGACTCACATGTTTAGAGATTTGTTTCATTTCATTAGGAATAAGTGGTGGTCAGTACTGAAGCATATATTTTGGTGGTATGACCACCAAAAAAAAGTAGAGAACCAGTGATGTGCTGAATGCTTAGTTGAATGAAAAAATGAACCAAATATAAGCGCTTACCTCTCCTGACCAGCAGTATCCCACAGCTGTAGATGTACTCTATGAGTGCGTCCAACTGAGCTGTCAGCCCCAATAGTCCTGTGAACCTGAACACAAAATAATTAGCTTCCAACCAGTCGGCGGCACACAATTACTATATCTAAAATTACACATTTAATAATATTTAATGATCACATTGCACTTACAACTCGTTTTTCCCTGAAGTCGATGCCAACTGTTGAGATGAACTTCCCATTGAAAGCTTTGTCTGTGTATTGGTAGAGGAAACTAGTCTTACCCACGCCCGAGTCACCTGTCAAGAAACATGTTGAAATAGCAAGTCGAGTATATATATATATTGACAGAGCGGTCAATAATGGAAGAACTAGATGAAGAGCCAACTTTACAGGAGCTTGAAAAAGCCATTGATTACCTTGCTGATGAGAGGGCACCAGGGATTGACGGCATTCCACCGGAAGTCCTCAAAAATGGAAAACCTGTCCTACTTCAGCCTTTTCATGAGCTCCTCTGTCTGTGTTGGGAAACATGTCACATTCCCCAGGACATGAGAGACGCCAACATCATAACATTGTATGAAAATAAAGGGGACCCAAGTGATTGCAATAGCTATCGAGAAATTTCTCTCCTTGGTTTAGTTGGAAAGACTTTTGCCCCTGTTGCCCTTAAACAATTGCAGAGTCTGGCTAACAGCATCTACCCACAGTCCCAGGGTGGCTTCTGGAGTGGTCGCTCAACAATAGACATGATATTCTCGTTACGCCAAATGCAGGAGAAATGTCGTGAACAACATATGCCTCCTATATTGCTTTCATAGACCTGACAAAGGCATTCAGTATCTTGCAAAGAACAGGTTGTCCCCCACGACTACTCAAAATCATCCAGTCATTTCACAAAAACATGCGCAGCACAGCAAGTTTTAATGGCGCTGTTTCTAAGTCATTCCTAGTCAGCAGCGTAGGAAAACAGGGCTGTGCACTGGCATCAACACTCCTCTCCATTTTCTTCTCAATGCCTTCTGGGACTGTGAAGATGGAGTGTACATACATATCAGATCTGATGGTATGCTGTTCAATATCACCAGCCTTCGTGAAAAGACCAAAGTAAAAAAGGTGCTGATTCGTGAACTGCTTCGCTGATGATGCCGTTTTAATATCTCTCACAGTAGAAGGTCTTCAGAGGCTGGTTAATCGTCTATCACACGCTTGTAAAGAGTTTTGATGACTGTCAATTAGTCTACAGAAAACACATGTCATGATGCAAGAAGCACCATCCTCTCCAATCATATCTGTTAAGGGCCATAATCTTTTGGTTGTGATCATTTCACATACCTTGGATCAAATATTTCTAGTTCTCTCTCCGTTGATGAAGAGATAAATATCAGGATCGCAAAAGCAGCAACAACTATGGCTAAACTGAAAAAGCGTGTGTGGAATAATCTCAATCTAAGCTAAGTGTCTATAAGGCATGCATGCTTAGTCCGCTCCTATATGGCAGTGAAGTGGACCACATATACCAGTCATGAGCGGAAACTCAACAGCTTCCATCAAAGATGTCTGCGTCGCATTTTAGGCATTCGATGGCAGGACAAGGTGCCTAACACAGAGGTCTTGGAAAGTGCACAAATGTTTAGCATATTCTCCGCTCTTAGCAAGAGGCGCCTTCGCTGGTTAGGACATGTAGGGAGAATGGAGGAAGGCTGTATCCCAAAGAAGCTGTTGTTTGGAGAGTTGGCAGAAGGGACAAGACTTGTTGGACGGCCACGCATTCGATTTATGGACGTTTGCAAAAGGAGCATGAGGGAAGCAATTATTGAAAACAACCAATGGGAGCTCATTGCCGAACAATGTTCCAGCTGGCGAACAGCAGTGTATGAATGAGTAAAAAGGCAGAAGATATGCGAAACAAGGACAAAAAGAAAAGTACGGAAGTCAAAATCTTACCAGGAATCAATATTCTCCTGCGAGAAATGCAGTCGAGATTGCCATTCTAGGATTGGCCTAGTGAGCCACTCGTTGAACTGTAGAATTCCTTAGAACTACATAAGGATGCCATATATATACATACATATACAGGAGGTCCTCATTGTACAGTGGTTTATTTTACAGTGGATTCGATGTTACAGAATGATTACCGGGTGCAAAAAAAAAATATTTTACAATTATAATTTATTAAATGTACTAGAATTTTTTCAGCTATCCCGGAGTAAGTACTATTTCATCATGGAAGTAGGCTAGCTCACGGAAAAGCACACAGCGTTCAGCATTCCAAGTGACATTAATCACATGACCATCAATTGCGTCCACACTTCATTTTGATGCATAGCCCAGTGTTGTTTGTGTTATTTAAATTTCAATTAGACATTTAGCAAAAGTTTCAAAGCGTGATTCATCTGATACTGGTGCTGGTGGAGCAAGGAAGAGGACACATATCAAGTTAGAGGGTTAGTGGGAAATTATTAGACATAAATGGGAAATTATTAGACAAAGTGAAAGAGGAGAGTGACCAGCGGACATCGTGTATGCACTTGGATTTAGTCGTACCACTGCATCCACCATTGTGCATGGCAAAGCAAGCATTTTTTAACAATAAGGAAAAAAAGGATAAAGTTATTACTGAGAGGAATTTTAGTATTTTGAATTTAGATAACTAAATTTATATATATGCATGTGTACATATGTACATGTAGTTTATGTGGGCGAATGGAGTAGATTTTTGTTCTGTTAATTGTTCCTAAAGTCTAAAGTAACTATTATTACTAATTTTTCTTTTTACATTATGCTACATCAGTCAGGTGAACAAGGCATGATGATGTGAGAACCATTTAACTATGTTACACAATTGTTTAATGCACACAATCTTTTATTGTATACAATCTATTCTTGTACACAATATATTCTTGGACACAATATTTTATTGTACATAATCTATTGTTGGATACAATCACAATCTGTTATTGTATGTAATCTACCCTTGGACACAATCTATTTTGTACACAATCTTTTATTGTACACAATATTTCAAGGAGCAACATACTCACCTAAGGCTAGAAATTTAATCAAGTAATCATAATCAGCTGCAGCACTGCCTCCGCCTGCTATGGGCGAGGCAGTACGATCAGTAACCTCCCCCATCCACAAATCTGGAGGAAAACAAATTATGAACATGTACAGCTCAGTACTGAAATCAATGACAACTTCATGAATATTTATGGCACAGTAAAATAAAAATGAGAATTTCATGAAACATTTAATGCAAAGTAATTTAATAAATAAAAGCTTCATGAACATTGAAACATTTTTGGTTTTCTAAAAATAAACTGAGAGAACTGCATTGAGATCTTTGAACATGTAAGTTTTTATTTTCCAATTATTTGTCGTTTCTTGAATTGTCTTGTTTGCTGAAGAGGGCACGTAGCCTGTCTTTATTGTCAAACCTAATCATATCTTCTTCTACAAGGTATTTACTTAACACATCTTGAATTTGCTCTCTCATATATTAACATTACTACACAAAATTAATAATGAAAATTTAAAATATTAATCTCTAACAAAAATTAGGTTTTATAAAATCCAAATGGTAAAATATTTAAATTAAATGACTTTTTTGTTTTGAAGAGTTTTTTTTATCACAAGACTTTTTTTACAAGTGCAATGGATTTTTTAAAAATAATTCTGAAAAATTCAAATATCGGTTTACATTATGATATTCTAAAACACCCACGAAAGCAAGTAACATCAGTTTCTCATTATTACTAATATTAAGTAGCTCTAGCTACTGTCAACATTAAACAGTTTGATCGAAAGATTATTTTCTTTATAGGAACAATAATGCAAATTATAAAGGTAGGCAGTGACATAAGGACGTTAGATTTCAAATGCTTTGATGAAATTGGGCTTGGAAAGCAATCATAAAGGCGATGTATATTAGGGCTGAGTCGAGTGCAGTATTTTGTCCCGGTACCGCTCCTAGTATTTTTGAGAATATAGATTGAGTTTTTGTACCAATCGCTAGTCAGCCTTCTATTATCATTTATTAATCATTGCACAGCTAAAAATAGCCCAAACTTTATGTAAAAGTATCATTTCTTTGAAGCACCTGCACCCCCTTCCATTTCAACAGCCATGTCTGAGTACTGTTGAGTGTGTAATAGTGTATGATATAAAATGATTTTAAAAGTAAATGGTTGAGGCTCTAGTAGAAAAGTTTAAAAGGTAAATTTAATGTGTAGTTAGAATGGATAGAGCTTTGGTAGAAAGGGTCTGGTCATGTTAGAGTAGGTTGTGCTTCGGAAGTGATCTTGAGGTAAGCAAGAATGGGTGGAGTTATTAAAGACAAAAAAAAGAGAATATGGCTATTATAAAAAGTGGGTGGAGCTATTACTAACAAGGGTTGAGTAATGGTTAAAGGGGTGGAGTTATTACTAACAAGGGTTAAGCCATGATTAAAGGGGTGGAGACATTACTAACAAGGGTTGAGCTATGATTAAAGGGGTGGAGTTATTACTAACAAGGCTTAAGCTATGATTAAAGGGGTGGAGTTATTACTAACAATGGTTAAGCCCTGATTAAAGGGGTGGAGTTATTACTAACAAGGGTTATGCCATGATTAAAGGGGTGGAGTTATTACTAACAATGGTTAAGCCCTGATTAAAGGGGTGGAGTTATTACTAACAAGGGTTATGCCATGATTAAAGGGGTGGAGTTATTACTAACATGAGTTAAGCAATGATTAAAGGGGTGGAGTTATTACTAACAAGTGTTAAGCCATGATAAAAGGGGTGGAGTTATTCCTAACAAGGGTTAAGCCATGATTAAAGGGGTGGAGTTATTACTAACAAGGGTTGAGGTATGATTAAAGGGGTGGAGTTATTCCTAACAAGGGTTAAGCCATGATTAAAGGGGTGGAGTTATTACTAACAAGGGTTGAGTTATGATTAAAGGGGTGGAGTTATTACTAGCAAGGGTTAAGCCATGATTAAAGGGGTGGAGTTATTTCAAACAAGGGTTAAGCCATGATTTAAGGGGTGGAGTTATTACTAACAAGGGTTAAGCCATGATTAAAGGGGTGGAGTTATTACTAACGAGGGTTAAGCTATGATTAAAGGGGTGGAGTTATTACTAACAAGGGTTGAGCTATGATTAAAGGGGTGGAGTTATTACTAACAAGGGTTAAGCCTGAATTAAAGGGGTGGAGCTATTATTAAAAAGGGTTTTAAAAAAAACGACTAACAACCACCAATCAGAGAACACCATTCAGGCACAGAAAAAAGTAATAACTAGAGTTGATAGCAATTGCATTGAGCTTTTCTTTCAAGTCACAACATATTGGTAGGTGCATTTATCTAACCACTACATGTTGATATGTGCATTTATCTAACCACTACATGTTGATATGTGCATTTATCTAACCACTACATGTTGGTATGTGCATTTATCTAACCACTACATGTTGATATGTGCATTTATCTAACCACTACATTTTGATATGTGCATTTATCTAACCACTACATGTTGATATGTGCATTTATCTAACCACTACATGTTGATATGTGCATTTATCTAACCACTATATGTTGATATGTGCATTTATCTAACCACTACATGTTGATATGTGCATTTATCTAACCACTACATGTTGATATGTGCATTTATCTAACCACTACATGTTGGTATGTGCATTTATCTAACCACTACATGTTGATATGTGCATTTATCTAACCACTACATGTTGATATGTGCATTTATCTAACAACTACATGTTGATATGTGCATTTATCTAACCACTACATGTTGGTTGGAGAATGTATCTAACCACTACATGTTAATATGTGCATTTCTCTAATGACTACATGTTGGTAGGTGCATTCATCCAACCACTACATATTGATATGTGCATTTATCTAACCACTACATGTTGATATGTGCATTTATATAACCACTACATGTTAATATGTGCATTTATCTAAACACTACATGTTGATATGTGCATTTATCTAACCACTACATGTTGGTATGTGCTTTTATCCAACAACTACATGTTGGTTGGTGCATTTATCTAACCACTACATGTTGATATATGCATTTATCTAACCACTACATGTTGGTATGTGCATTAATCTAACCACTACATGTTGATATGTGCATTTATCTAACCACTACATGTTGTTATGTGCATTTATCCAACCACTACATGTTGGTTGGTGCATATATCTAACCACTACATGTTGATATGTGCATTTATCTAACCACTACATGTTTTTAGGTGCATTTATCTAACCACTACATGTTGGTATGTGCATTTATCTAACCACTACATGTTGATATGTGCATTTATCTAACCACTACATGTTGATATGTGCATTTATCTAACCACTACATGTTGATATGTGCATTTATCTAACCACTACATGTTGATATGTGCATTTATCTAGACACTACATGTTGGTTGGTGCATTTATCTAACAACTACATGTTGATATGTGCATTTATCTAACCACTACATTTTGATATGTGCATTTATCTAACCACTACATGTTGATATGTGCATTTATCTAACCACTACATGTTGGTTAGTTTATTTATCTAACCACTACATGTTGATATGTGCATTTATCTAACCACTACATGTTGATATGTGCATTTATCTAACCACTACATGTTGGTATGTGCATTTATCTAACCACTACATGTTGATATGTGCATTTATCTAACCACTACATGTTGATATGTGCATTTATCTAACCACTACATGTTGATATGTGCATTTATCTAACCACTACATGTTGATATGTGCATTTATCTAACCACTACATGTTGATATGTGCATTTATCTAGACACTACATGTTGGTTGGTGCATTTATCTAACAACTACATGTTGATATGTGCATTTATCTAACCACTACATTTTGATATGTGCATTTATCTAACCACTACATGTTGATATGTGCATTTATCTAACCACTACATGTTGGTTAGTTTATTTATCTAACCACTACATGTTGATATGTGCATTTATCTAACCACTACATGTTGATATGTGCATTTATCTAACCACTACATGTTGGTATGTGCATTTATCTAACCACTACATGTTGATATGTGCATTTATCTAACCACTACTTGTTGATACGTGCATTTATCTAACCACTACATGTTGATATGTGCATTTATCTAACCACTACATGTTGGTTGGAGAATGTATCTAACCACTACATGTTAATATGTGCATTTATCTAATCACTACATGTTGGTAGGTGCATTTATCTAAACACATCATATTGGTAGGTGCATTTATCTAACCACTACATGTTGGTAGGTGCATTTATCCAACCACTACATGTTGGTAGGATCATTTATCTAACCACTACATGTTGGTAGGTGCATTTATCTAAACACTACATGTTGGTAGGTGCATTTATCTAACCACTACATGTTGGTAGGTGCATTTATCTAACCACTACATGTTGGTATGTGCATTTATCTAACCACTACATGTTGGTATGTGCATTTATCTAACAACTACATGTTGGTAGGTACATTTATCTAACCACTACATGTTGGTATGTGCATTTATCTAACAACTACATGTTGATATGTGCATTTATCTAACCACTACTTGTTGCTATGTGCATTTATCTAACCACTACATGTTGGTATGTGCATTTATCTAACCACTACATTTTGGTATGTGTATTTATCCAACCACTACATGTTGGTAGGTGCATTCACCCAACCACTACATGTTGGTAGGTGCATGTATCTAACCACTACATGTTGGTAGGTGCATTCATCCAACCACTATATGTTGATAGGTGCATTCATCCAACCACTACATGTTGGTAGGTGTATTTATTTAACCACTATATGTTGGTAAGTGGATTTACCAAACCACTATATGTTGATTAGTGCATTCATCTCACCACTTTATGATGGTAGGTGCTTTCATTAAACCACTATATATGCATTTCATTGGACCACTATAAGTTTTCGGTGTATTCAACAAAGAACCATATGTTCTTATGTGCATTCAACTAACCTAATATATAAAATATATATTAGGTTGATATGTGCATTCAATGCACCACTATATGTTCTTTAGTGCTTTTATAAAACAACTAAATGTTCTAATGTGCATCCATTAACCACTAATGTTGGTAGATGCATTCCTCCAACCACTATTTATTGGTAGGTGCATATATTTAACCACCATACTTTGGTTAGTGCATTCATTAAACCACAATATGTTGATAAGTGCAATTGGCTAACCTATATATGTTGATAAGTGCATTCATCTTACAACTATATTTTCTTGTGTGTATCTAACTATGATATGTTGGTAAGTGCATTGTTCAAACCACTGTATGTGGATATGTGCTTTCATCTAACCACCATATTTTAATGGTTGCATTCATCTGAACACTATATGTTTGATATGTGCATTCATCTAACCACTATATGTTGATATGTGCATTCATTTTTCCACAATATGTTGATAAATGCATTGATCTAACCACAATGTTGATATGTGCATTCATCTTTCCACAATATGTTGATAGGTACATTCATCTAACCACTATATGGTGTTAGGTGGTACATGCAGGATTTTGTATGCATATTTACCATAATGGCTGTGGCTAGCCAGAGCTACTGGAGAGTAGGGCTTTAGTATGACATCAAACTGATAACAGGAAGCAGATCAAATGACATAGATACAATACAATGACATTAAACTTATAACAGGAAGCAGATCAAATGACATTGATACAATACAATGACATCAAGCTTATATCAGGAAGAAGATCAAATGACATTGGTACAATACAATGACATCAATCTTATAACAGTAATATAATAAAAAGACATTGGTACAGCATAATGATATCAAACTTATTAGAGAAAGCAGATCAAATGACATTGATACAATACAATGATAACAAACTGATAGCAGGAAGCAGATCAAATGACATTGGAACAATACAATGACATCGATCTGATTACAGGAAGAAAATAAAGAGACATTGGTACAGTATAAATAGTATAATGACATCACACTAATAATAGAAAGAAGTGACATTTGTACAATATAATTACATCACAGTGATGACTTGAAATAAATTACATTGGCACAGATCAAATGACATATATATTAGATCACAAGTATACAATATGAACCAAATAAAGTGGTGTTAATTCCACACTATAACAACAGGTTACCAACAGCAAGAAACTGGACAAGACACTAAGGTGGACCTTATGTTCAGCCTGGGGCTATCATCATGGGTCCCTTAAGTGCGGTGTAGATGACCCTGCTACAGACTACAACAGTGCTCTCAGAGTCATTTTAGACAAACATGCACCACTGTCCACACGGCGAGTTACGGACCGCCCTTCCGCCCCTTGGCTCACGCCCGAAATTAAGGAAGCGAAGCAGAAGCAGCGACGTGCAGAACGCCAATGGCGGAAGTCGGGCTTGACTGTGCACCGACAAATCTTTGTTGACCACAGGGAAGGAACCAAGAGGTTGGTCCTTGCAGCTAGGACTGAGTATGTTAGTCATCAGATTACAGGCAGCGGCTCAAGCAAGGACTTATTTCGCATTGTAGGTCAGCTGACCGGTAAAAACAAGGCTACATCTCTGCCAAATAACATTGCTGTAGTAGAGCTGCCAGACGCTATAAATGACTACTTTATTACAAAAGTTAAGAGGATCAGAGCGAAACTTGACAGTTGCATCGATATTGCTCCAGAATTCTCAATATTCAACGGTTCTTCTATGGCTGAATTTGTTGAGGTGAGTGAATCGAATGTGAGGAAAATCCTCGCTGATACCCCAAGAAAGTCATGTTCGCTTGACCCTCTTCCAGCAGGGCTCTTGTATGAATGTCTGGATGAAATAGTCCCCATCATCACTTATATCACAAATCAGTCCTTAGCTACTGGTATTGTTCCATCATCTTTTAAAGAAGCGATCGTCACTCCACTATTAAAGAAATCAAATCTTGATCCAAATGTGTTGGAAAATTATCGCCCCATCTCAAATCTACCATTTATTTCTAAAATCTTAGAAAAAGTCGTTCTCCGCCAACTCCAGGATCACCTCACTCAGTTTAACTTGTTTGAACCATTCCAGTCAGCATACAGGGTGCATCACTCTACTGAGACAGCCCTGTTGCGCGTCGTAAACGACCTTCTGTCGTCTTGTGATGAGGGCAAGGTATCGATTTTGTCTTTACTCGATTTATCGGCAGCTTTCGATACGCTCGACCACGGCATATTGCTCCAGCGTCTGCAACAAACGTTCGGTCTCACTGATACCGTCCTGTGTTGGTTCCGATCGTATCTGACTAATCGGGTGCAGTCAGTTATTTCAAACGGCTTGACTTCGAAGAAATCTAATATCGAATTCGGAGTACCCCAGGGCTCGGTCCTAGGCCCAGTGCTTTTCACGATGTACATTCAGCCACTGGGCGCAGAGATCAGGCAGTTTGACATGTTGTATCACATGTACGCGGACGATACACAACTTCATCAATCCGTGATCCCTTCTCAGTTCCCTCAGCTGCTCAGTATGACACAGAAGACAATGGAGTCGGTTAAGCACTGGATGACGATAAACAAGCTCAAATTAAATGATGATAAGACTGAGCTGCTCCCCATCGCGACCGCTCAGAAGCAAAAATCTGCAAATAACACGACATCCATTACTCTCTCAGGTGTGCGTATTGAGTTAGCTCAAACAGTGCGGTACCTGGGTGTCTACCTAGATGGAAGACTAACTTTTGAAAGTCATATTAACATGCTATGCAAGGCGATTTTTCTAGAGCTGCGCAGGATTAGTCACATCAGGCCCTTCCTAACAATTGATGCAACAAAGAGGCTGATGTCTGCATTTGTGCTATCACGCATGGACTATTGCAATGCTCTTATGGTGGGTCTTCCAGCTACGCTCCTGGATAAAATTCAAATAGCGCAGAATAATGCGGCTCGCATTGTTCTCCGCAAACGCAAGTTTGACCATGCAAAAACACTTCTGAGACAGCTGCACTGGCTGCCAGTGCGTGCTCGCATGGAGTACAAAATCGCAACTTTGTGCTACCGCTGCTTACATGACCTGGCGCCGTCCTATCTGAAAGAGCTGCTAACGCCTTATGTACCCACTAGAGAGCTCCGCTCATCCGATAGTGGCAAACTCTCGACACCACGTGTTTGCCTTGAGACTTACGGATAGCGCACTTGATATTAACCAAGTTGAAGCTTAACGATGAAAAAACGGTCTTCTCAAAAGCACTCCTCATTCACAATCACAAATCATCCTCTAACTCAGCTCTTCCCACCTCATTTCAAGTAGGTAAAACCGAAATACTGTTTACATCCTCTGCTAGGAATCTTGGTTATCCTCGGTCTAACAACATGTCTCTCAATAATCACATCTCTCACATTTGTCGCTCTGCATACATCGATATCCATCAAATCAGTTTCATCCGCCACACCTCACAGTTAGTGCAAAAAAACTATAGTCTATGCTCTATTTCTCTCTCGTCTTGACTATTGCAACTCTCTTCTATCAGGTTCACCAAAACACTTCTTAGAAAAATAATAAAACGTTCAAAACTCAGCTGCTAGGCTAATTCTAAAGCAAACAAAAACGTGATGATGTCACACCACTACTTCATTGACTTCCTTGGCTCCCTGTACAAGCACGGATTGACTACAAACTCTCTGTTCTCTGCCACAACTTTTTCTCGAAATCCTACCCTTCCTATTTTACCGAACTTCTCTCTGTCTATTCACCCCTGGACAGCTTCGCTCCTCCACAGATGAGTGTATTCTTTCTGTCCCCAAGACTCGCACAAAAACGTACGGTGAATGATCTTTCTCTTTCTGTGACCCCTAACAATGGAATTCTCTTCCACTACACATTCACAATATACCGACCATCACAGCCTTCAAAACTGCACTCAAAACACCTCTTTTTAAACTCTACTGTCCTGACTGATTCCCACCTGTGACCGAAAAACGATGCTGCTGGGTGTCGTCCATGGCTTGACATGTAAATAGTTTTAAATACACATTTGATTTGTTTTATTTAATTAATGTACGTTAATTAATTGTTTAAGTTCTTGATTATGTTTGTAAATTGTATGTACAACACGGTGAGCCCAGCCCTAGGCTGGGGTACCACGCTATATAAAACCACTTATGATAATAATAATGTGCCTTACTCTAGACATTGCATGTCACACTTGTCATTCTCTATTGGCTTGTAATGTTTGAATATAATATATGTAAACATCTGTACACATCATGCTCACTTCTAAGATACTTGACACATAGTGAGATATAATACAATAGACTATAGACATATTATGCTCACATATCATATACTAAACAAATCATACTTACATGTCATATACTAGATACATCATGCTCACATGTCATATACTAGACACAGGTTCACATGTCATATACTAGGACACATTATGCTCATTATAAAGTGTTATGATTATGTTTGCAAAGGTTATTTTGAGAATGTCATGTATACATGGTAGTTCCGAGATTATCATGTTTACAAAGGTTACTACCCGACATGGATGATGATATAATGTAAAAATTTTGAAGTCGTCTTGATATAACATCATGTCATTCTAAGATCATGTTTGTATAAGAACCTTCTAAGTCTTGTTCACAGAGCCTCCAGAACATTAATCAATAAACGTATCCATTAAGCTCTATGAGGTTGACAGAAGGATTACACAGCTATCGGTGGCTTTAATGAATGTGGGGGAACTGGGGGTGAATTTAAGGAACAGGGGAGGAGAGTGGTCCGGCAACATTTGAGAACCACTGCTTATGCCTATGTGAAAACTGTTGTATTTTGCCAAGATGAGAACCACTGCTCTATGCCTTGTTATAGAACAACAGCTCTATGTCTAAGAGAACCAATGCTCTATGCCTAGTTAGAGAACCAATCTGTTATGCCTAGCTTAAGAACCACTGCAACATGTCATGTTTAAGAACAACTATTTATACATAGAAACTCTAGTCTATGCCAAGTTTAAGAGCCACTGCTCTATATCAATCTGAGAACCATTTTTCTATGCTGCAATATTGCTAAACGGCCAGTTAAGAACCACAGCCCTATATCAATCTGAGAACCATTGTTCTATGCTGCAATATTGGTAAACGGCAAGTTAAGAATCACAGCTCTATATCAATCTGAGAACCATTGTTTTATGCCACAACATTGCTAAACGGCCAGTTAAGAACCACTGCTCTTGTGCAGTGGTGAAAACTACTACTAGATGCCACATTGAGAACCACTGCTTACTGCCACTTTAAATACTACTGATATATTCCATGATGAAAACCCCTGCTCTCTGCTTCTTTAAAACTCCTGATATATGCAAAGTAGGAAACATTGCCTTGTGCCAGAATAAAACGATATAACCAGGGATGCCACAAAAAAATTTGTCAAATGTCAGTTCCAAACAGCACTAAGGGTATCTTGTTTAAATTGCTTCCGGTTTTGGCATCAAGATCAAACCCTACTAAGGAAGTGAAAGAAACTTAAAGTCTCCAGGGTAATAAATATTTGAATGAATGTCTGCCTAGTCTGTCAAGGATAGATTGAGCCATAATCATTCCTACCAACATGGATGTAATTATGAAACCATCAATGATTGAATGACATAATCATTCCTACCAACATGGATGTAATTATGAAACCATCAATGATTGAATGACATAATCATTCCTACCAACATGGATGTAGTTATGAAACCGTCAATGATTGAATGACATAATCATTCCTACCAAAATGGATGTAGTTATGAAACCATCAATGATTGAATGACATAATCATTCCTACCAAAATGGATGTAGTTATGAAACCATCAATGATTGAATGACATAATCATTCCTACCAACATGGATGTAGTTATGAAACCGTCAATGATTGAATGACATAATCATTCCTACCAAAATGGATGTAATTATGAAACCATCAATGATTGAATGACATAATCATTCCTACCAACATGGATGTAGTTATGAAACCGTCAATGATTGAATGACATAATCATTCCTACCAACATGGATGTAGTTATGAAACCGTCAATGATTGAATGACATAATCATTCCTACCAAAATGGATGTAGTTATGAAACCATCAATGATTGAATGACATAATCATTCCTACCAACATGGATGTAGTTAAGAAACAGTCAATGATTGAATGACATAATCATTCCTACCATCATGGATGTAGTTAAGAAACCGTCAATGATTGAATAACATAATCATTCCTACCAATACGGATGTAGTTAAGAAACCGTCAATGATTGAATGACATAATCATTCCTACCAACATGGATGTAGTTAAGAAACCGTCAATGATTGAATGACATAATCATTCCTACCAACATGGATGTAATTAAGAAACCGTCAATGATTGAATGACACAACCATGGATTGCTGTACGCAACTTTCGACATCGTGACACAAAGCTTGGAACATCTAATTATTGTTATTGTTGTTGGTCCGTCCAACTAGGACCATCGAGTCATCCGGTTAGTGGGAGGTTGGGATTACGGTGAGCCCGTAGGTGGCTTGCAAGACCGATCCTTGCTCGGAATAATCTATGACACCGTGGGCATGGAATAGTTGCTTCAGACGGTGACCTAATGTTGCTCTTTCGGACAAGCCTGCGTGTCTCAGCTGTGGATATCCTATTAGCTCCATGGGATGTATCCCCCTTCTTGACAGCAGCTCTCCACCTGGCTCTGCCCTGGACTGTCTGCACCCATTGAGTAGGCCTTTAGTGCCAATTTCAGTGAGTCTTTGTAACGCTTTTTTTTTTGACTTCATTGGGAGCGCTTGCCTATCGTGAGTAGAAATAAGTTCAGTCGGCTAGGGTGTGAAGGAGCAGTCATTCTTTTGGGCACCTATTCTAGCCCCTTCGTCATGCATTTAGGAGAGCCTGCCTGTCGCCACGAGACTTGGGATGATGGGTATAGTTGGATGACTCATGACTTGGACGGGTGACTTTGTTTAAAGTGAGGAAGAGTTGCGCAGCGTCAACCTCACTCTCTCGTCCGGACCCACCGTGTCCAGTAGCAAGACTATGTCAAGACGACCGGAAATGGGTACGGATGCAGTGGATGACCAAGATGTTCTACGTGCCTCATCTTGCTCTACGCACTCCACGGTGCGTTGCTGTAATCGCCTTCACCTCCGTTGAACCTAAATGGTTTCCTCCGCAGTATCCGTCGACGTCCAGGCTTTGCATGCAGTAGGTAGGCAGACCTAAAATCACCGAGGGTTTGAGGCCCTTCAGCTACCCACAGCTGATTGACCCGGCTAATGGAACCCGTTGCCCAGGATATGGCCGCTGTTGCATGCTAACAGCTGATTGGCATGAAAGTTGATACTCATTTTAAGTTAGTTACAAAATCCTCAACTATGGTGCCCAGGAGATAATCTCTCATCGAAGCCGTTGCTAACCAACGCTTTCAGTGCACCAACAAGTTACTACTAGGTTTAATAATTTATTAATTTGGCAATTTAATAAGACTATTCCAACCAGTCTGGCGTGTTTATCTTTACGTAAGGAATGTTTGTCGATTGACTGGCTTCAGTGTGCCTACTGTTAACACAGTGTTCACTCAGCAATTTGTTGTGTGTAGTCCAATATAAATGGTTGTAAAGATTCTGATAAAAATAAGCTGCATGTCCCAACACATACAGCTCTTGATGAATTTGGAAATCCAATCTTGAATGAAACAAGTACTTAGGTTTGATTACACTGGGAGTGTATTTATAGTCCAATTTAGAACGCTAGAGATAAGTTCCTTGTCGCACACATGGCCGCCATTTTGAGACAACTCCCGTCATCTTTCTTGGATTTCTCTTTTGTTGTCTTCTAAAAGGAATAATACTTATCCGAAGACATACATTCCGATTTTGGCTAGTAGGTCTAAAGTGTAATTTCCAGACATTTGAATTTTGCCTAAGTCATGTTGTGTGTCTAATTGTCAGAGTTCTTGGCTTACTTTTTCATTTTTATTACGCCATTTTGTTGCTAGCCGGAAGCGACATCTAATAATACATTTTTAGCTACACTGTTAACATTGTCACATGATGGGCTATAGCTACGACTGTTAACAATAAGCACATGATAGGCTATAGCTACGACTGTTAACAATAAGCACATGATAGGGTATAGCTACGACTGTTAACATGATAGGCTATAGCTACGACTGTTAACATTGTCACATGATAGGCTATAGCTATGACTGTTAACATTGTCACATGATAGGCTATACCTACGATTGTTAACATTGTAACATGATAGGCTATAGCTACGACTGTTAACATTGTCACATGATAGGCTATAGCTATGACTGTTAAAATTGTCACATGATAGGCTATAGCTACGACTGTTAACATTGTCACATGATAGGCTATAACTACGACTGTTAACATTGTCACATGATAGGCTATATCTATGACTGTTAGCATAGTCACATGATAGGCTATAGCTACGACTGTTAACATTAACATTTTCACATGATATCCTATAGCTATGAGTGTTAACAGTGAACACATGAAACAGCAATGACATTAACATTCTACACATGATATAGCTATAAACGAAACAGCTATTGTTGATAACATTGTACACATGATATAAATATAGTTGATAATATTGTTATAGCTATGGATGTTAACCTTGCCACAGAGACCCATTTTTGAAGACGTATGTTAACTTTATATTCATAATGTGCCTGTGCTGGCATTGAATAAAGAACACGTGCTTGCAGACTTAGTGTTAACTTAGTACAAATAATTATGTGTCTGTGTTAACATTGCCATGAAATCGTGTAATTGCAGACCTATGTTAACTTTTTACACATGATATATCTGTGTTAACATTTACATGAAATCGTTTAGTTGCAGACTTACAATGTTAACTTCCAGTGCACATATTGCATCAATATTTCTTTTGAGACATCATTGAACAGGACGACTAAATCCATTAATATTTGATGAAATAACAGGCATGCTATCTCATTAATCACATAATCACGCAATCTCATTTATAACATAGTCATGCTATTTCAATTATAAGAAGGTCTCATTTATAAAATAGTCTTCCACTATCCCCCTGCTATTGTAAAGTATATAGTTCACTTTAGTGCCCCAATGCATCCACTAATCCCCTGCTATTGTAAAGTATATAGTTCACTTTAGTGCCCCAGTGCATCCACTATTCCCCTGCTATTGTAAAGTATAGTTCACTTAGTTGCCCCAATGCACCCACCATTCCCCTGCTATTGTAAAGTATATTTCACTTAGTTGCCCCAATACACCCACCATTCCCCTGCTATTGTAAAGTATAGTTCACTTAGTTGCCCCAATGGCCCGTCGTCGTATTCACCCAGTTTATTTTTTAATGTACCACTGGACAATCCTCTCCTATTTGTACGCCACTCAAATTCTAGTCTAGTTATTTATTGTTGTTTTTCTGTTCTATTCAACCCCCTCCCACCACTTCCATTGTTATTTCTACGGGTTTGTTGTCAAGAAATCCATTAGCACCAAACAGGGTGAGCTCCCCTGGGGCTATGACAAAGACAGAGTAATGGAACGTGGTATAACAAAACAGAAGCTATCCTGGTTAGCTAATGCAAACCCTGAAAGACAATCGTTGTTCCCTCCAGAGGGCGAGGCTGGTGATATAAGCAGCATTCAGAATACCAAGTAGCTTATCTTGAGTTTGCTTTAAATGTCTAAAAGTAATATTAATTGATTAAAGTGTCAGTATATCCATGTAAACCTTTAAAATATAATCAGTGTGGATTTATACAATGTTAACTTTAAAACATACTTAGTGTCCATCAATCCAATGTAAACCTTTGAAATATACTTGCTGTCAGCTTACACAATGTCTTTCGTTCAAATATACTAGATCTCGTTATTTACAAGGTATACCTTTAAAATTCTTATCAACGGAATAAATGATGTAAACATTTTAAAATGTGTCCAATCGATTCGTCCAACAGAATTAAGTTAGCAAATCAACTCATCCTGGGATGAAAGGACCAGTCTGCTAAAACAGAGCCCCACTATAGATGTAGATCCATCATTGCTTAGGCTTAGGAAAAACAATGTGACGCAATAAGCCTAAAAACAGTAATGGTAGCCGAGTGGATAAAAGGGCTAGCGGTAGGAGTGTAATGAATGGAGGATGGAATATGATGCATGATGGGTAGATGGGCCAATGGGGGTAGGCGTGTGGTGAATGGTGGATGGAATAGGATGGATGATGGGTAGATGGGCCCATGGGGGTAGGAGTGTGGTGAATGTTGGATGGAATAGGATGGATGGTGGGTAGATGGGCCAATGGGGGTAGGAGTGGGGTGAATGGTGGATGGAATAGGATGGATGATGGGTAGATGGGCCAATGGGGGTAGGAGTGTGGTGAATGTTGGATGGAATAGGATGGATGGTGGGTAGATGGGCCAATGGCGGTAGGAGTGTGGTGAATGGTGGATGGAATAGGATGGATGATGGGTAGAAGGGCCAATGGGGGGGTAGGAGTGTGGTGAATGGTGATTGGAATAGAAATAGGATGGATGATGTGTAGATGGGCCAATGGGGGTAGGAGTGTGGTGAATGGTGGATGAAATAGGATGGATGATGGGTAGAAGGGCCAATGGGGGTAGGAGTGTGGTGAATGGTGGATGGAATAGGATGGATGATGGGTAGATGGGCCAATGGGAGTAGGAGTGTGGTGAATGGTGGCTGCAATAGGATGGATGGTGGGTAGTGGGGGGGTGGGAGTGTGGTGAATGGTGATTGGAATAGAAATAGGATGGATGATGTGTAGATGGGCCAATGGGGGTAGGAGTGTGGTGAATGGTGGATGAAATAGGATGGATGATGGTTAGAAGGGCCAATGGGGGTAGGAGTGTGGTGAATGGTGGATGGAATAGGATGGATGATGGGTAGATGGGCCAATGGGAGTAGGAGTGTGGTGAATGGTGGCTGTAATATGATGGATGGTGGGTAGATGGGCCAATGGGGGTAGGAGTGTGGTGAATGGTGGATGGAATAGGATGGATGATGGGTAGAAGGGTAAATGGGGGTAGGAGTGGGGTGAATGGTGGATGGAATAGGATGGATGATGGGTAGAAGGGCCAATCGGGGTAGGAGTGGGGTAGTGGGGGAATGCATAAGGCGCTAGTGTTAGGAGTGGGGTGGATGCTGAGTGATGGTGCCTAGGGGTTAGGTGTGAGTGGATGATTGGCGATTGGACCAAATGGGCAGAGAGTCAAGAATAGGGTGTATGGTGGTTCAAATGGGCTTTGGGGTAAGAAGTTTGTCGGATGGTGGCTGAGTGGATAAGATTGACCATTAGTTAAGAATGGGTAGATGGTAGTTAGATATGGCTAGGGCATAGGAGAGGGGTGGATGGCGGTGAGTTGATAAGGTGGGCACTTAAGGTTGGGATGGAGGTGGATGGTGGATAAGGTGGTCACTTGGAAAAAGGAGGGCGGTGGATAGTGGATAAGGTGGGCTTTTGGGGTTAGGAGGGAGGTGGATGGTGGATAATGTGGGCACACGGGGTTAGGGCTGAGATTAATGGTGGGTGAATGGATAAGGTGGGCACTTGGGTTTAGAAGTGAGGTGGAATGTAGGTGAGTTGATAAGATGGGGACTTGGGGTTAGGAGTGACATTGATAGTGTGTGTGTGTGTGGATGGTGGATAAGGTGGGCTTTTGGGGTTAAGAGGAATGTGGATGGTGGATAAGTTGGGCACTAAGGGTTATGAGTGAGATTGATGGTGGATGAGTGGAAAAGGTGGGCACTTGGGGTTATGAGTGAGATTTATGGTGGGTGAATTGATAAAGTGGGCACTTGGGGTTAGGAAGGAGGTGGATGGTGGATAAGTGGATTAAGTGGGCACTTGGAGTTAGGAGTGAGATTTATGGTGGGTGAATTGATAAAGTGGGCACTTGGGGTTATGAGTGAGATTTATGGTGGGTGAATTGATAAAGTGGGCACTTGGGGTTATGAGTGAGATTTATGGTGGGTGAATTGATAAAGTGGGCACTTGGGGTTATGAGTGAGATTTATGGTGGGTGAATTGATAAAGTGGGCACTTGGGGTTATGAGTGAGATTTATGGTGGGTGAATTGATAAAGTGGGCACTTGGGGTTATGAGTGAGATTTATGGTGGGTGAATTGATAAAGTGGGCACTTGGGGTTATGAGTGAGATTTATGGTGGGTGAATTGATAAAGTGGGCACTTGGGGTTATGAGTGAGATTTATGGTGGGTGAATTGATAAAGTGGGCACTTGGGGTTATGAGTGAGATTTATGGTGGGTGAATTGATAAAGTGGGCACTTGGGGTTATGAGTGAGATTTATGGTGGGTGAATTGATAAAGTGGGCACTTGGGGTTATGAGTGAGATTTATGGTGGGTGAATTGATAAAGTGGGCACTTGGGGTTATGAGTGAGATTTATGGTGGGTGAATTGATAAAGTGGGCACTTGGGGTTATGAGTGAGATTTATGGTGGGTGAATTGATAAAGTGGGCACTTGGGGTTATGAGTGAGATTTATGGTGGGTGAATTGATAAAGTGGGCACTTGGGGTTATGAGTGAGATTTATGGTGGGTGAATTGATAAAGTGGGCACTTGGGGTTATGAGTGAGATTTATGGTGGGTGAATTGATAAAGTGGGCACTTGGGGTTATGAGTGAGATTTATGGTGGGTGAATTGATAAAGTGGGCACTTGGGGTTATGAGTGAGATTTATGGTGGGTGAATTGATAAAGTGGGCACTTGGGGTTATGAGTGAGATTTATGGTGGGTGAAATGATAAAGTGGGCACTTGGGGTTATGAGTGAGATTTATGGTGGGTGAATTGATAAAGTGGGCACTTGGGGTTATGAGTGAGATTTATGGTGGGTGAATTGATAAAGTGGGTCTTAGGGTTAGGAAGGAGGTGGATGGTGGATAAGTGGATTAAGTGGGCACTTGGGGTTAGGAGTGAGATTGATGGTGGGCGAGTGGATAAGGTAGGCACTAGGGGTAAGGACTGGGATGGAGTGCTGGAGAGTGGATAAGGTGGGCCAAGAGTTAGCAATAGGGTGGATGGTGGTAAGATGGGCTCTGGGGTAGGACTGGATGGTGGGCGAGTTGATAAGGGGCGTCCTAGAGATAGGAGAGGATTGGATGGTGGGGGTGTATAAGGTAGGCCCTAGGATTTGGGGTGGAGAGTTTGATGGGTGAGATGGGCCCTAGTGATAGGAGTGGGGTGTTTGATGCTGAGATGGGCCCTAGTGATAGGAGTGGGGTGTTTGATTGGTGTTATGGGCCCCAGGGATAGGAGTGGGGGTATTTAATGGGTGAGATGGGCCCTAGTGATAGGACTGGAGTGTTTGATGGGTGAGATGGGCCCTAGTGATAGGACTGGAGTGTTTGATGGGTGAGATGGGCCCTAGTGATCGGAGTGGGGTGTTTGATGGGTGAGATGGGCCCTAGTGATAGGAGTGTGGTGTTTGATGGGTGAGATTGGCCCTAGTGATAGGAGGGTGCTGTTTGATGGGTGAGATGGGCCCTAGTGATAAGAGTGTGCTTTTTGATGGGTGAGATTGGCCCTAGTGATAGGAGTGTGCTTTTTGATGGGTGAGATGGGCCCTAGTGATCGGAGTGGGGTGTTTGATGGGTGAGATGGGCCCTAGTGATAGAAGTGGGGTGTTTGATGGGTGAGATGGGCCCTAGTGATAGGAGTAGGGTGTTTAAAGTGTGGTATGGGCCCTCGTTTTAGGAATGGGTTTTTTTGATGGGTGAGATGGGCCCTAGTCATAGGAGTGGGGTGTTTGATGGGTGAGATGGGCCCTAGTGTTAGGTATGGGTTTTTTTGATGGGTGAGATGGGCCCTAGTGATAGGAGTGGGATGTTTGATGGGTGAGATGGGCCCTAGTGATAAGAGTGTGCTTTTTGATGGGTGAGATGGGCCCTAGTGATAAGAGTGTGCTTTTTGATGGGTGAGATGGGCTCTAGTTATAAGAGTGTGCTTTTTGATGGGTGAGATGGGCCCTAGTGTTAGGTATGGGGTTTTTTGATGGGTGAGATGGCCCCTAGTGATAGGAGTAGGTGACGATAAAGCAGATTTAAGACTAGCCAATTGTAACGGGATAGTTTACAACATGTAGTTATTAGTTAATATAACAAAGGTAAAAACAATACAAACAATACCTCATCATAAAACAATGGGATGTCAAACATAAATTATAACATTATTTGACATTAAAAAAACAAAATATACAAACAATACATCATTTTTATAATACAATTACACAAACATAAAATACAACAAAAGATGCATAACAAAAAAAAAATTTATGTAACAAATCTTTTAACATACCGATATGCATCGCCATTAAATTTGTTAGTGGTCAAATATGCATTAACATTCAGTGTACACTGTACAGATAGAAATCTTACCTTTTGTCAAAGAGGGGTTGTGTTGCAGTTAGTGCAGAAAAACTGAAAGAAATAACTGCAAGATCTTATAGTCTGTATCAAACACCTACAAGCGTGTGAACTGTATTACTCTTTAGACAGACTTCTTACTTCTACAGACTTTTAGACTTCTGTCGATGATTAGACTTCCTTGGAAATTTTGATTGCTGTTGAGAAAAAATTATCTATATATTATGCATTCATTCTTGTGTGTCTGTAAAAAAAAAAAGGCCCAATATTACAATTCTGTCTTTCACCTTAATCTTAGTAATTAATCTTAATCTATTAATCTTACAAATATTGATAAATAAATAATTTCTTGTCATATACTGAGATTGATTATGAATATAACACAGCAGTGCCATTTGTTTTGTTATGATGTTTGTTCACTGAAAATTTAGTCTTTTAAAAGATGATTCTAATATCCAAAAAATCACACATACAAATATTATTTGTCAAATAGGATACAAAAAACAAAATTACAGTTCATTTCCTACCTAACATCCATTTTACTAAATTTGAAATATGTTTAAACATTAACATAAATTAATGAAAATATTCATTACAACTGGACACCACTTTCAATGCTCTTCTCAAAACTTTTTCTCCTCAGTACTTTTTCTATTTTTATAAGGGATGGCAAAATATGTTCACGCAAAATTTAATCATTTAATTTAACTATGAATAATGCATGCAAAAACACAGCATAACAGAACTGAATTCACTGCTAGACTTAAATATTAGCGTGATTATAGTACATATGCAAAAAAAAATTTGGTCAAAAGTTTCTCCTTGTTACAAGCATACTTTTTTGGACACCCCCACTCCCCTCTGAGTGCATACACTGGGCATTTAATTGTCCTTGGACATGACCATAAGAAAGGGGCAAAGGGGGTACTTGTCCTGGTCGCCAACATCAGGGGATGCCAAATGGCTTTAAGATAGGATTAAAAGATTTAATCCAAATAGTGATTAAAAGCTATATAATCCCATGTGCTTCACAAAAACAAGGAACGCAAAAAAATGGTATTTTATTGGACCGCCTCGGGTGACATTTCGTCCCCTTAGAATAACAAGGTTCTAAGTTGATTGGATTAAATAGGCACATAGAACCTTGTTATTCTAGGGGGACAATTTGTTCTATTTATTGAGGGACCTCATAATTTAGGATTCCCCTGGTAGGTATGTCACTTTTCTTCTGCACTGCCGTGCCCTGGGTTACTGCTTATTCCTAACAGGGGCACTGCGAAAAATTACATGTGACAACAGTAACTAACTGGAGTATCAATAACTTTGCAGTAACTAGATGACGCTTAATGATGTACATATGTGTTCTATTTATTTTTACCCAACTCTTATTATTATTTTGTAAATGTATTGGCTATTTTGAAGTGCACTTGTAAGAATTCAACACAGGTCGCCAGGTGCAAACCTGAATTTAACAAGGGTGCCGGGATATTGAAATATTCTAGAAACCACTAGGGTAGCTGAACAAAATATACCACAGGCACATAGTAAATAATCAGGACTAAATATTACTACCAGTACCAAGTAGGTCTACAGCTAGAATAAAATGTTGCGAGTTCACTTTTGAAAACACAGTACAAACATTGTGACGATGATTCTTACACAACATTACGTGATTTTACGTGATTGGTCAAGCATTAGATATAGTATTGATTTAGCATTAGAGATAGTCCATAAATAGCATTTATGTCAGGATAGTTATTGAGAATTTTTGAATAAAAATGTATGTACCCCCACTCCCAAAAGTGCTTATGTACTATAGGGATGGCTCCAAACTGTAAGTAGAACCTACTGCATAAAACAACAGCAAAAAAAAAAAGGGGAGTGAATCCAAAACAAAGTCGTCGTGGGCCGCTAAATCGGAAAAAGCCGAAATGGTCTTTTATTTGATTCTATAATAAGACTCAAACTAATAAAAAAATAATCAAAATAAACAGCTCCAACTGCAAATAGGCCCAGGCATAGCAGAAAGGATGGCATATTTATTATGATTGTAATAATTACTATACATAGTTTTATATAGCATGGTAAACCAGCCTAGGGCTGGGCTCACCATGCTGTACATACAACTTAACTAACATAATCAAAAAATGTAAAAATTAATTGACATACATTAATTAAATAAAACAAAACAAATGTATATTTAAAACTACTTACATGTCAAGCCATGGACGACACCCAGCAGCATCGTTTTTTGGTCAGAGGTGGGAATCATTCAGGATAGTAGAGTTTAAAAAGATGTGTGTTTAGTGCAGTTTTGAAGGCTATGATGGTCGGTATATTGCAAATGTGTAATGGAAGAGATTTCCATTGTTTGGGGGCACAGAAAGAGAACGATCATTCACCATGAGTCTTGGGAACAGAAAGAATATGCTCGTCTGCGGAGGAGCGAAGCGTCGAAGGGGTGAATAGACAGAAAGAAGTTCAGTAAGATAGGAATGGCAGGATTTCAAGAAAAAGTTGTGGCAGAGAACAGAGAGTTTGTAGTCAATCCGTGCTTGTACAGGGAGCCAATGAAGTGAATGAAGTAGTGGTGTGACGTGAGCAAATTTTTTTTGCATTTAGAATTAGCCTAGCGGCTGAGTTTTTAACCTTTTTGTAATTTTTCTAAGAAGTGGTTTGGTGAACCTGATAAAAGAGAGTTGCAATAGTCAAGACCAGAGAGAACTAGAGCACAGACTATGGGTTTTTGTTGCACTAACTGTGAGGTATGGGCGTATGGAGCTGATCTGATGAATAGTGGCGTATCCAGAGCGATAAATGTGAGAGTTATGATTATCAAGATTCATGTTGTTAGACAGAATGTAACCAAGATTCCTAGCGGAGAATGTAAACTGTATATCGGAGTTACCTACATGAAATGAAGTGGGGAGTTAGAGGATGATTTGTGATCGTGCATAAGGAGTGCTTCCATTTTGTCATCGTTAAGCTTCAACTTGCTGAGTGTCATGCATGTATTGACATCATCAATGCTCTCCCGCTAAGTCCGGATAGCAGAATCGACAAGAGAGGGATGGGTATGCTTGTATAGCTGCGTGTCATCTGCAAATGACTGGCTCTCCGCAGCATGCCTCCCGAGAAAGAGGAGCAATGGCCTGGTATACATTGTGAATAGCCAAAAACGGACGCCTGTGGCACTCCATACACCAAGTCAGCACTACTATCGGAGAGGTAGGACCTAAACCAAGCCAAAACTGATCCTGAAATTCCAAAGTAATTTTAAAGGGTTTTGTAACGGGTTTCATGGTCAAAAGTGTCAAAGGCCGCACTGAGGTCTAAGAGGATCAGGATGGAGATATCACTGCTGTCCAATGCCAGCAAGAGGTCACTGGTGACTCTCAAGAGAGCTGTCTCAGAGCTATGGAAAGTTCTATAGGCCAACTGATTAGGACTGAGAAGAGAGTGGTCGTTTAAGTAAGCAAAAAGTTGTTTTAGAACTAGTTTTTCAATGACTTAAGATAAGAATGATAAGTTAGATACAGGTCTATAGTTTTTTTTAATTATTTTCATCCAGACCAGGCTACGTAAGCAATGGTTTTTATGACAGCTGACTTACAAATAGAGGGTACATTGGCAGAGGACAAGCTTTCATTGACTCTATGGGTTATCATTGGAAGCAAATGATCTAATGACTCAACCAACAGGGGGGTAGGGATGAGGTCCAAAGAACATGACGTAGGTTTAGACTTCAGAATAACACTTTTGACCTCTTGTTCTGAAACCAGTTTAAAAACTTCAAAATGTGAACTAACATTCTAACAAAGGAAAAAGGAGGCAAATCTAGGGGTGACATGTCGAGACGATCAAGCTCAGTGCGAATGTCAGCAACTTTGTAATATGTCCTCCTAACCTACACATACTCACTCAAATGTTGAAATGTCACAAGGAAAATAAGCAACCTACAATATATTTCTACTCCTCGATATTAAAATTTATTTGTGCGAAAATTCCAGATTTCTTTTAAGTTATCCAAATCTGTTCTTTTCAGGAATTGCTTCTCCTTTGCACAAATTTGTTCTCAATATGGTAGTTGTAACATATGGCAAATCCCCCGACTGCACTAAAGTTAACTTAAATCATCAGGCAACCTTGCAGTCATCCATAGAAGCATGACCCTTACTGTACTAGTGCTACTCTGCCTACTCGATGACCTCTGTCTCACACACACTATAAATCAGCAGAAGTCCTATTTGATCATATCATTTATTTATTAACAAATCACTCTGTATAGAACAAGTTACACATTGATGAATAATAGAATGATGATTGATTGAAGTACGGTCACAATACATCCAATGCCTTTAGAATAATAACATTCGATCAACTGCCATCTTACTATCCATTACAATATCTTTTCTCTTCTATTTCCGCCTTATATAGGCCTATATTTAGATCCATGTATCCTTACTCTCAAACGAAATAGTGCTTTTCAATCTCATCTGTTAATGAACATCAACATCATAAAATTAAAATTATTTATTACTCTTAATTTGTAGTCTATTCTGCTAAAATGCAGTTAGTGGTAGGGCTGGCAATTTCATCCACAGTACATAGGTCATGGAGGTTCCCCAGTTCAACTACCAGCCATAGATCCACCTTTTAAAATATTTCCAAATTTAGCTCTGTATTTCTTTGAGACTTTTTTTTTTCTGGGGGAGGGTTCTACCCTCCCCAGAAAAATATGTTTAAATGTCCTGTTAAATTTCAACATTACAATTAAATAAATGAGGGGCATATGGGTATTTCATTTTCAACCAATTAAAAATAAAACTTTTAACCATGTTCCGGCTTTCGTCTTGGGGTCTACTAGGATGATTTTCTCTTTTTATTTCTTTTGAAACTTGGAAGTTGAATTTTAATAAAAAGCAAATGGAAAATTTCATTTTAAATTATTTTATATTAATTATATCAATTGTCGTTTTGTGTTTTTGATGCTAATAATGCTCAGTGAAGAACAGGAGAGTTATCATTCTCATCATTCTGGTCTAACTGTTGGTCCTTTCACCCTAAGTCTAGTGTTGGGATTCCCTAAAGTGACGTCACTGCGCTTAGGGTGAGACGACTCTTGCTAAAACCCATGCCGTTAAATTTACTATTACTCTTGCCTGCATCATGTAACATAGGCCCACAACGTCTTCAGGCCTGCACAACTTAAGTCGCACATGCCACATATAGCCTGTCATCACTCACTCTGCTGCTCATGAGTATCAATCATTTGGACTTGGAAGAATTCTTACCAGATACTCCTTATATGTCCCACAAATAAGAAAAACTTGTTGCCCAAAGATAAACATAATGTAATGTCTCTCATTAAATCGATTTTATTTTTAGAAAAATTTCTTTTATTAATTATTGCCAAGTCCTAGACTACTGAACTACTGACAATGAACTGGACACCGTCCATGTCCACCATCTGTCTCATTTGAACTAATAACTAATTCAATTCGTGAATAATAAATCAAATATATAGTATAGTCATAGGACTTCTACTACTTCCTACTTTATAAATAATAAGCTTATACTATAGTATAGCCTGCTAACCACTTAAAATGCAGTCTAACTACCTAATTAAGTTTAAGTCTATTATAATTACAATTTTAAGTTTTAAGTTTAAGTCTTGGTTCTGGTTTTTTGAGTGAGTCTCAGGCCCAAAGAAATGGTTGTAACTACCTGTAACAAAGAAAATAAGCAACCTACCATATATTTTTACGCCTCGAATTTCAAAATTTATTTGTGCGAAAATTCCAGATGTCTTTTAATTAAGTTATCCAAATATTTTCTTTTCGGGAACTGCTTCTCCTATGCACAAATTTGTTGTGTACTCGTCTACAAAGCTTCTCTTCCGGTAGGTATTTGAAAGGTCGAGCACTGTAGCTTTGTTGTTGTTTTAGGAGCAAAATTTCAAAGTTACCTCCCATTTCTCGAGTTTGAATATAGTTTTTAGAAATAATTTTAAAGACAGACATAAAATAGTACAGTAGGCTCTCGTTCTCACTAAGCTTTTGTGATAGACTGGCAGGTTTAATTGAAAGATTGGGGCACTGCTGTACATGTAGTACATGTAAGACATGCTTAACTCCGAATTCAGCATTTGTCAGAACTATAACTCATATAGATGGCTAAGAAAAAGGGGAAACAGATTTTGGAAGAAGACTAATACTAATATTTATAAAACTAGTTTTAGAGTAACTTAGATCAAAATTTTAAAGTGCAGTTTTGTTTATCAAAGTGTTGTTTTTTTTATGGGGGTGTTGTGGGTGAGACAGACATTGTGGACTATAAGTGCCATCACAAAGAATCAAATGGAATCATATCTTCTTTTTTTTTTAAATTTTGTAAATTAGTGTCATTAAGTTAACAAGACATCCCCGAGGCCATAAATTGCAAAAATACATCATTGGCATGTCTTAGACAATGAACTTTCTAATATAACCTAAAGGTGACATTTACTTAAATTTAAAGCTTTAAAATTGCCATAGAAGTTACAGGTAGCAGTAAGGGGGAGTTGCAATTTTTTAAAAACGAAAATTTTACTGATCAGATTCATATTGAAGAGATGTTGACGATTGACATACAACTTAACAAGTTAAGGATTTAAGGAGAAAAACAATGGGTTATAATATACCTCAAATACACCAAAATATAAAAAAACGCAAAACATTATGTAAATAGCATTGCATCAGAATATTTTTTTAATTTCACATTATCATTTTTATTAATCATCAATTATCAACATAAAATGCAAGGAAGAAAAGTTCAGACAAACACTTGACCATGGTACACAATGACACAAGCTGGCCGCTATCATCACACAAAACAAACATAGTGGCAGGCTACCAAGACCAGCTGCTGTGTAGTAATGCTCTGATTATACAAATCTTTTAATGCTAAATAATACAGAAACAAAATAAACTTTCTGCTCCTCTAATGTTAAATAAAATGTTAACTTCTACAAAATACTAAGTAATTGAGAAATGTTTACATGAGCAGATGTGAATAGCAACTAAAAAAGTTAAGAAATTTGTCAGGTATTAGGACTGGTATATGTTCCCAGCTGCCATTTTTTTTTTTTACCTTTACAAGATTTTTACCCCTGTACATGCTTTCTAACAATTATGCAGATATTTATGCAACAAATCCAACCCATTACAGGACATTAGTGGATCTGACATAGCCATATACATTTGCACTCGACTGTGGCCACTAAAAACATATAACATGCTTTAAAAATAATCTCCTAGACATGAATTAAATATCTAAAATATTTATATATATATATGTATATAGTTTATACAAGTAATTTACCCATCTTTTTATAAACAACTATTTATTTATTTAAACTATTTCAAAACTTTCTAAAACTAATAAATACAGAGTATGTAAGAAAATCTTACACTTTGAAATGAAGGTGCCTAATTTTACTCCCAAAACTCATAAGAAAAGAGAAAATAAAAAAGAAGTAACAAAAGATCAACTCATATTTATTTTATTTTTTAAACTAAAAATATAAATTTGTTATAAGTATTATTGGTATAAAGGTTTACTTAAAGCTCAATTTAAAGACTCACTCTCACAGAAGTTAATCCTTCTATTTATAGCTTCAAGTTACTTACGATATAAAACTCAACTCTAACCACAAATGAGAATAAATGAGAAAATCAAGTAGATATGAAAAAAAACAATGAAACGTACAATAAGTCTTAATATCCACACAGATGCTGTATATAATATTCGGTTATTTTAGATTAACATGGCAGACCGCCAGTCAAACACACAACAGCATGCTTTGTAATGTCAGCTCAAACAATTCTATACATTAGTATTATACACACGACTTTGTTGATGCCTAGGACAAAAATAAACTTTTTTATTTACTAACCAGTGTCTTATTTTAAATTTCTTCAAGTTTTGGGGCCCTTTGAGGAGGGAAGTTGCTTACATGCATTAACAGAGTCTGGGATGATTAATCTTTGACTTTAAAGGTAAATTTCAATTAGTTTCCAGACACTTAAATTTATTGAATAGTTTGATTTTTTAAAGAACTACAGCATATAAACGGAGATTAAAAACAAATGCAAATTTTGCGGCTTTAACTATACTATTAAAACTGACCAAGGCAAACAAAAAAAACCCTACTAGGCCACACAAGGAATATAGACCGGTTGTTGACATGATCCTCTAGAGCAATCAGCCACATTGATTAAAACAGGTTAACACAAATAGCTAAACATCTAACAAATTTAACATACTTGGGTGGATAAATGGTCTCATCATAGCTCAAATATATCAAATTCCTTGTTTATTCATCACATCATACCTCACTCAAACACTTTCAATTCATCAATTAATGATATAATACCTCAAAGCACATTCAAAACAGTCACACCCCGCTGCTATCACAGATGCCAAATATATGAAGAGTCACCACAAAAATGAAATCTCTTTAAAAAAAGCTGTAAGTTAAAGATTTCTCAGTGCAGCCTTGAGCAAGTTTTTTAATATCAAATGTTCTTTGTTTTTTTCATTTACCAACAAAACACAAGTTGAGTTGGTTTTAATTTCTAAGAAAGAGATGGATAATTTTTGTGATGAAGCCACACATACATACAAAAGGCTGGTACCATACCCACAACACCAACATGTTTAGTAATGGCCCCACACACAAATATGGATGTAAGCATGCACAAACCAAGTGTTAGCAGTAGGACCAAGATACTACCACATCATAGCAATAGTACAGTTCTTTATATTCACTGAGGCCCAATTGCTCCGGAAACATGCTTCAACTTAATCGTAAGCATGTTTATATATATTTGAATGCAGGTCCATGTAAATATAGACATACCCATCTAAATCGCCTCAGACACATCCATGCCATCACTTGACACAATTTCACTCCATCAGACAAGTTACCATCCAGAAATATATGCCCAAATCACCACATATTTAATTTATAAAACAATTTTAAAATCCGAAGACAAACCAAACTATTTATATATATATAATACAACAGACAGCGGCACTCCTCTGATAAGCCTCTGTCCAGCGCCAAGAGTAAAATCCTTGGATCAACAAGTTCCACTGGGCAGGATGGGATGCCCTGGTTCAAGAAACGGGATGGGACGGGGGGGATCAGGAAGGGACAACCTACTTCATATCTTTTGTATTTTCTCTCCCTTGATTACGGGGTTATTCTTACGGATCTCCTCCTGTCCCTTCTCCTTAAAATCAAAAGTACAATCATGTGTGTCTGAGTAGCGATGTAAACTACAAAACAACTTGCCGCAGTGGCACACAAAACCTGAGGAAGACATAGCATAATTGCTTATAAATTGCTGTATCATAAAATTGACACATTACTTAACTTAAGACAGACCTGTTTTTCCTCATACTATACTCATACTCCTACAACCATACTATATTGTCTCAACATAGTATCCTATTGCTGTCATTGTTTGGCATCAGTGTTTGGAACAACTTTTGTCTGTGAGCAAACATTTTCAAAATGAAGTATGTGAAGTCATCACATCTGACGAGATTGACTGATGAACATCTTGATTGGATGCGACTATTCCCCAAGCAAATATTGATGATATCTCGAAACCCAGACACCAGTTTCAAAATCTCATCTACTTCCTTTTTGCTGCTTCGTTATAGAGATTCAAATATGTGCACACTAGGTCTAATGTAACTATCTAATGTTGCCTTCTTTGATAACTTTTATAGTAAATAAATATGTTTGTTATCGTGTATTTTGCGCATTGGACGCCACTCACCCATGATTAACATGGAATACTAACTTAGTTTTTCGTAATTTTTCTGGCTTTGGGTCTGCCTTGGAAGTATTGGAGAAAATGATTATACAGCCTTATTTTGTCCTTTATCTGGCCCGCGGTGACCCCTGATTTATACAAATACATGGCAACATTAACGATATTATGAGAATAATTCCTACAAAAGATTGTGCGATATTTTTACAGCATTCGAGATATAAATATGTTATTTTTGGACTTTCCGAGTTTTAGGATGAAAATTTTACGAAAATTTAATAACATATGTACTTTTATGCTGAGGAACCCCCTCCTACATACGCACAGTGTTCATTTTTAGACTTAAATATTTGGACTCTACTCCCCCCGACACACAAAACCTAAATCAACACCACTCCATTCCCCTCTCAGGGCAAAATTAATAACTTTACGTCCCCAACCAATCGTATTCTTCGATCCATCTCTGCTTGATATAGAAAGAAGGCTAACAAATAAAAACTAACAACTGAAAATGTATTTTTAGTTTAATTTAATCGCAAAAACTACCACAATATAAAATTTTCAACCCAATTTTGAAATCGTAGTCTCAACAGGTTTTGGCATTCGTAATAAAACCTCAAAATCGTAGATTGTACTCCAAAATTGTAAGAGTTAACAGGTCTGTTAAGATATACCAGTAGAAAAAACATAGCACTTAACTGTATATAGCATCACCAGATAAGCAAATGTTTAAAATAAACAAGTTTAATTGTTATTCAAGACACTGGGAATCAAGTAAGCATAGTTTAGAACATTTCAATCTTATCTTCCCCTGTTGATTTCATGCCTGCTCTATCCCGAAAAATTTTTTAAAGAGCCTAAGTCCATGATGAAAAATGGGAAATTTTAAAACCATTTCAGTGATTTAAAATTAGTAAAATGCTTATTTGTTCATTGGAGAAATAACCTTATTCCAACTACTAACCTGTGAGTCCAACTTTTTTCCGACATTCCATGCAACGATTCTTTTTGGGTCGCTTACTCTTATCTGCTTCACTGATGCTGTCACCTGAACACACAAAAGTCAATAATATATAAATCCATTTTGAGAAGGTAAAATAAAACATTATAATATTTACACCTATAATTCACTGAGCACTGTCTTTTGTTGTTATTCAGACTTTCACATACCATTTTTAAAATAAAAAGATGTAAAACACTAATGGTTCTTAACAGCCTCAGCCGGGACGATAGTAAAATATGATGCTCTTTCTGGCTGCCTACCATACATTCCTCTACTAAAATTTAATGCTGATGTCACAAATGAAGTTATTATTTTTTTTAAAGAAATCTGTATGTTTTTATCTTCTTTCCTGAAAGTTACAAACATTCAAAATTTGTCATGACCTTTCAAGGTCATTTGCGACAGGCTACTAAACTAAGTTTACTAGACAAGAAAGCTTAGATCATATTTCAGTCAACTTCAGATATAATTAAAAGATTTTTCCCTAAATAGCCTATTCTACATTGTGAATATAATATTTCATTCATGTTTATTTTTAATAAAAGTGTAAAAATACACAATGATATTGTTTTGTTTTTTTTAAAGAATAACATACAGGTACATTCTAAAATGGAGTTATGTTCCTTTGCTTAGGTAGGAAGGCAATATTTCCTTTAACCAGGTTAGGCAGTAGTCAGTTAAACAAAAATTATGAAAAAAACTACCAATTGAAATCTAGGCTTATAGAATAAACACTTTAAAACTGTGAATAGAATTCACCAAGGTCTTAAAACAATATTAAAATAGATTGGAAACAAAGGGCATGGTGAACACTTGATATCCACATGACGCCGAGTGACGGGACCGATTTTTTACCCTACATCAACATGACATCATCTACATAACAGCAAAAAAGAAATATTCCTTTGCTGGGCAGGCATTCTAACTAGTTAACAATGGATAAACCACAACCTTAGAATGAAAATAGTTTACTTTAAGTCTCATTTTGATCAAAATTTTATATTGCATACACCAAACAATTGCAATTTGTTATTAAAAAACTAACTCAGATATGAATTGGGTCGTAGTTTTAAAGAGTGACAATTCTTGGTTGATTATGAAGGGAATTGTTACTATATGCCCTATGGATATAAAGTGTTGACATGATTAAAATCCCATCATCTTCACAATTTTATGAAGTTATAAGAGAGAGTTAGGTCCAAAACCGTGTGTGGTTCTGGGAATTAGGCACATATTTGAGCTAGATAAGAGTTTGTACCGTCTGGAGAACCAGCATCCTCATCTTTCGTATCACTACATGAAGCTTTGGCTGATGCCACTGTGGGACTGGCTGTTTCAATGGCAGAACCCCCGGCAGCCCCAAGTTTCTCAGCTAGCTTCTCGGAGAATTTATCACTGTTAGAGTTGCTGGAAGTGTTCACATTCATTTCTACAAATAGCAGAAAGGCATGATTATACTTACTACATTAGAATATCAAATTTAAAAAAACGTAACAACTACAAGGGAAATGAAAATTGAATGTGGCTACAATTCTAAAGTCTGAATACTTAATTATATTTTTTAAATTAATGAAATTATAGCGAGAAAAATAATCCAAACATAAAAAATTAGCTTCAAACAATATTTACCAGTTAATAGTAAATCAACAAACATTTTAACATTGTTACTTGTGGTAAGCTTTGTAGGGTATGGTGAAAACAGATTGCATAGCTTAACATTTCAACATGATGAGAATAGCTGGTGTGTTTACCTATTTTTCTTCATGTTGGCTGTGGCATCCACCATTCCCACCCTTCCTTTTTTCTACTGACATCACCGATTTAATGACTAGCACTGTACCATTACACACCCGTCCCTTGATCGTATTTTTTTTTTTAACTTTCTAATTTGTTCTAAAGAATACTATTGAGTGAATTTCTTTTCTTTTCTGGAGGGTTCTAACTCCCTCCCCATAAATAAACCGGCAGCTTTCCCAACCGGAAGAGATTTTAGCTAGCTTTCCTAGACAATTACAAGACTTAATATACTTATGAGAGCTACTCTTTGTGTGTGTATATATCAATATTTCTATCTTTCGATGATTATATTTTTTCACTTGCTGTGTCACATTTTGTATTCTTTAACATAAATATTGTAGTTATAATTAAATTTAATATCGTTAACACGAGAGGCTTTGCTCATTGCTAGCATCTTTCCTTGTTCATCTAATGAGCCAAATCTTAAAACAGATAACTTTGCAAAACCATATAATGGTATATAACGAAACCAAATTGTAAGTAATCCAGTCTTATTGTGTGACTTGAGTCTGAAATGGTCAACTTCTGGTAAGCTATTATTAGAAAAATATTTAGTCAAAATACATTTTCTTCTTGTTCCATCTTCTGATTTTGTACATGCAAGCTTCAGTTGTTCCCAATAGTTCACATGATCTGGACCCTTAGATTGAGATGCCAGACTATAGTAAAGGTTAAGAACCCTGTTCCAGAAGGCATAATGAATATTTTACCCAGGAAAGAGGTAATGCTTCTATTTTACATATGTTCACCAATACAGACTGAAAAATTAAACATTAAAGAAGAACCTACCTCCTAAGGAAGTTTTACTCAGGGCAGCGGCCACTGCGTCAACATCGTTCTCATCACCACCACCCAGCACAGAAGATCTACTGACAGACGGTGTGGCTGCTGGTGACTGGACAGCTGTTACGGGTGACTCATTCTGCTGGAGCTGTTTTAAATCCTTGTAACATTTGGAGCACATCCCATCAAATGCCTGGGCTGCATAAAAGCCACAGCCATTTCTACAGAAAATGGATGTGGCCATATTCTGGTTGCCATTTTGTTCCATAGACATCTTGAGTAGTTTATTCAGTCACCTAATTAATACAAGATAATAAACCAAATCTTTAACAACCAATTTAGGCATCTACTCAAAGCACTGATTGTATTAGTACTCCAACATTAATGAACTCTTGGGGAGGGGGGTTGTGTTTGGAAAGGAGGAGGAAACTCTTTTTGTTGGAATAATAGAATCATAACTGACCAGTTTAAATGATTAAAAAAGTTACTTTTATGCCAGGCAGGGTAAAAGTATGGAAATTATAGGGTGGGGTATTTAATCTGAAAGGTTTTTTTAGATTAAAGTTGGCTTTATAAGATGTATTAGACAATTAGAGTGTTAGGAATTCAGGATAATTATTAAATGTACGTTCTTTCTGCCGAACCCAACTCCCCTCCCCCAACAGCTATATGCAGCAGTATGCTAAATATACCACATAGAGCGTAGTTATTATATGGATGGACCTATGTATCATACTGATTTTTAGAAATGTAAATGTATCGACTCTTTATAATAGTTTTAATTCCTGGCATCATACATAAGTAAAAAAAAAATGCTGGCAGACATCAGCACCCCCCCTCCCCCCGATTGGAGGGGGGTATGTAAAAGGTAAATGATGACTATGGACATTAATATTCACATTATGATATACTTGTATTTTCTTTGCATGTTCGTTCATACGGTGAAAATCTCTAGTCTACATCATGGCTACATTTACATTTTACATGACGAATGTTGAAATACAATAAAACATCGCTTAGTGTTCAAAATTGTTCTGTGTTTATTATACGTTACATACACCATACATGAATTTTCTGTTTGTTTTCTAATTTCTTATTACTGGCATGTTCAAAGTCAAATGCCAGCACAACTTGTTAAAGTTCAAACTTAAACACTTAGATCTAATAATCGGAATATAACATAAATTTAAAATGTTTAAATTGCTACAAAATATTTTAAAAATTGTCATGAAACTACTGGTGCAAATGAACATATAATTTAAATATGAAATATATTTTTAAAATTAAAATGGAAAAATATATAAAAACTCGATCCCCTTCTGGGAAAATATAAGATCGTCTAGGTTCTACCACAAGACCTTATCTAACAGGCATATCTTAAAACCCAATGGTACATTTTTGCAGCGGTGTCCTCAGGCCTAGGTCTTTGGTTTTGCCAGGCACACCGCCGCGGTGCACGCAGCCACTTTGTTTAATTTATTTTCTTAAGCCCAACTTGAACTTATCTCTAGTCCTAATTATGTCTTGATAGAGAAGTATCATTCACTTAGAATTAGTATATAAAAACAAGTTGCATTGGCCTTATTTTTTTGCCATGTGATTATAATTATAACTTATAGTAATGTGGGTAAAATGATTGGCAGTGTCTACGTGTCTGGCGACCGGACAACTAGTGCGGGAGATATTCTTCCAGCGGGCATATCACGTAAACGCCGGACAACTAGTATGTGTTATTATTCCGGCAGACATTTCATGTGACAAGAGGTCACCATCAAATTTTATTTTTTTAAAGTCCTTTTAAATATCTTATAAATAGGGGTGTGCCGGATCCGTTTTTTCCAACCGGATCCGGATCTTCTTATGCGAAATCCGTCGGATCCGAATTCCGGATTTTGGTACTATTGGTAGATACTTCGGTAAGTCAAGGTGGACTACTACTTTTTGTGTATGGGAATTCGCAATCGGCACCAAAAAATCCGAGTTTTTAATTTTCCGATGTGTGTGTCTATTTATTATTAAATTAGTACTTTCGATATATATTTGAGTTCCGCTCCATTTGGATAAGTGTCTTACGAGAGACGCCATGTTTCTACGCGTTCGCAGCAGGTCATGCAGCTCGCTCAACCTAATTTCGCCATGGGGTTGGCCACGCCCCCCTTTTTAATGGCGGAAGTTGACGATACTTAGGAAATATTAATATATTATCACTATTTACATCAAAATAATTGATAACTTGTGTTTCAGAATGCATTTAAAGACATTTAAACTGGAATGTTTTAATTTGAGCTTTAACAACCCGGTAGAATCCATATTATAAATGATCAGAATTTACCGTGTGCAACACGTTGTCATTGGCAACCATTCACAGCCACTTGCATAACTGTATCGTAGTACTACCTCAGAGTTTCATTCATAAGAGTTTGCCGTGTGCAAAAACTATTAAACCATTGGTCAGGGAAAGCTTTAATTAATTATTCATGTGCCAAAGTTGAAAGTTTAAACTAAGTCTAAACAGTATTTTAGTGATAAGGCAGGGAATGCGTTGCCTTATATAAACTATATAGTCATTGCGCATGACGGGATTGGCGGAATGAGATCACAGAATGTGGAGATGCAGTCCATGTTAAAAAATGACAAACCAAGTCGTACTTTAAAAATTCATAACTTTAAAACTACAACAGCTAAAAATATGATTTTGGTGTTATAATTCTTTAAAAAATTACATCTTTTCAACTATGCCATTGGTTTATTTTTACAAAAAGTTTAAATTTTCTTATCAAAGTCCCTACACTATTGGCCACTATTAGCGGTGCTGACTCTAGCCTCTGGTATGTACGGAATATTAAACATTAAACAAGCTCAACGCTCGAAACAATCGATTAATGTATCGTGATCGTGTGGAATTCGGGAAAGAGAATTACTTTTATTTCAGATTATGATCCGGTGAGTCACAAAATCTGGCAAATTCCGAAATCCGGTATATTCCGGATTCCGGTTGTTCCGGATACATGTAAATCCGGCGGAACCGGATAGTGCAAAATCCGGCGGAACCGGATTCCGGACCGGATTCCGGCACACCCCTACTTATAAACCTCTACCTAGTAGCCTAAATTTAAAATACGAACAAAGAAAATAAGACCAATACTTCCCAGTTGACTGTCATTAGATCTCCCGTCAAAAAAGTTTTATTATAGGCTATTTATATTGCGTGAGAAGTAGGCCATCCCAACAGCACACTATATTGGCCCTATATTAAGATTTAGGGTCTATTTCTTTGTGAACTTTCAACCTCCCTGCCTTAAGACTTAATTACCCTTACTATCAATTTTATCCTTTCTCTCTCGCTCTGAGTATTTCTTCCTTATAGTATTCCTCACCCTCCCCACATTATTTCTTGAAATGAAGTGTATACTCGTAGCCCCACCCCCCTGCATCTCCAACGCCAGTTTTATGATCGACTATTAGCGGTCATTTGACAAGGCTGACTGACAGATATCTGGCCCAACTAAGTTATAGCGATCATGTGACCTGGTCGAGGACAAAAATCTTGAGAATTATTTGTCCGGTCGCCGGACATGTAGACACTTAAAAAATAATTTGCTACACTGTTTTGGAAAGATGTAATTTCTTTGGCACATCTTACCCAATCTTGTTCTGTTTTGGCCCGATTAAATCATAGTCCCGTTACCTATAGTACCGGTACTAATGTTAAGAATGTTAGTAAAAAATTTTAATGGAAAAAAAAATAATTAGGTCAAATTTGAAAACACCTACTTCTTCTACTAGCCAACTTCAACTTCAAGGCCTGTATGATTACTCCTTATTTTCACTTCAAATAATTTTTAAGAATGTAGACCTATACATTTAATTTATTACAAATAGGCCCTAAAAACTATTCCATTCTGGTTCTAGACATTTTATGTGTCAGTTGGGTGAGTTATTCAAGTCAAAATTCATCATTAACTTACCAATTAATTTGTTGTTTTTTAGTGCCACTAAAGGCCCAGAATGGTTTATATTTTGAACCAATGTCCTGAATGCTATCAGTTTTCCTGAAGGCCTTAGGCCAACAACAGAAGCCGATTAAATAATAGGACTCCTTTTCTTCACTTGATGTGGTGGATGAGGCCAATGATGATGCAGCTTGAAACCTTGTTAACCAGCCAGTTCCAAGGTGTGGTTGGCTAGAAACAACAAAGACAGGACTTAGCCTTTTTTTTAAATTAAAAATTAGTCCAATTTCAATACCACAAGCAATAAACGAATCGAAACAACAAACTTTATTATGTTTCAGATTTTTAAACATTTATAGAAATAAAGACAAAATACTACACCTAATGTAAAGAAAGTCAAGAACATCGACATCAACACATATAAACTTGCTGCTTTCTTTCTACTCTACTATTCCGTCTTCCTCAGTCATGAAAGCAAGATGGCTACCGAACAAAAGTCGGATATTTCCGGTTATCGTAGCGATTTTGTCGTTTCTACAGGATGCTGTCACTGAAATAAGTCTTAGCTATAATATATCTGCTAAATACTTGCCGTTAATGTAAACTATTAAAAAATGAAAACGAAAATCAGAATCATCGCTTACGTGGGTTTGTGCTCAAAGTCACTATGTCACGATCTCTGATTATCTAAATCACGTGACAGATTATACGCCTTTCATTGGTCTAAAAATAAATTAAAAAGTAAAGATTTACTTCCCTTGTGTGACGTCAGAGTACAAACTATCTTTAGAACGGGGATAGCCCACTTTTTGTTGAATGAAAACTTTGACTCATCATAATATCAATAATTTCTTGTTAGATATCAGAGATAATGATGAGATCGCCAGCATAATTTATTTTGGTGATCTCATTTTTTTTAAAATTATTTAAGCAAATATATATATATATCAAAATGGGCATTTTGAGTTGGACCTATATTATATAAATAAATATAATTAAACTAGGGCTTGGCCTTGGCTTATTTTAACTAACTGATGGGATGGGTGCAGTTTGTTTGTTTGTTTGTTTGTTTGCTTTTTTCGTTCTTTTTTACATTGGGTCCAGGTATTTTGAGAAAATAACCGGTGTGTCCAAGTGTAACAAAAAAAAAAGAGCTAACTTCTCATTTTCTATAATATATGCCGGCCTTTAAACAATAGGCCTGCAGACAGCCCTACAGTCTACAGCCAACTAGCCGGCATTTAAATTTTTAAACAATAGTCCTACAGTTACAGACACTCCTACACCATACCCGTGGCTCTTTATTGATTAATGTAAAAAT